TATATATATATATATATATATATATATATATATATATATATATATATATATATATATATATATGGCAATACAATGACGACAGCAGGTTCTCCTAGTTGATTTTATACCAAATTTGGGAAGTCCTTAATAAGATTCCACCAATATCCCAAATCCAAATACCCAATAAAAGAAAAAAGACCAACTACCACAGAAGTCCGGACAAAAAACTTTTTGCTGTTAATACAATTTGAAAGCTTCCAAAAAAATTGTGAAAACTGGTGACAATAAAACTGTTTAGCGACAAAGTAAAGAGTAAAAGACCATCAAAATAAAAGAGAAAAAAAGTAACTGATAAGGCGAGCAAGTTTTTTTTTTTGCATTTTTATATAATGAATGCAGTTGCTAATATATAAACAAAGGTTCAAACTGCCGAACTGAAACAAAACCAGAAAAAAGAAACAGTTCAAACCACAGAAATGAATAAATGCAAGAAACCTACCAAAAAGGACGGTGAACAAAGAAGAATGAAATGATAGACAGGTAAAAATACTGAGCTCTTCCTCCAATTAATCGAATAAAAGTAACTCGCAGAATTACTTGCTCCTTACAGCTCTAACTTTTGTACGTTTACCGTAAACTGGAGGGATATATTTCTCCTAAACATTTGCTAACGGATACTACTAGAACATGAAGTACTACAATAACAATGCCATAATTTATGGCAAATAACAATGGATGTTGCCAACAGAACGAGAGGATAGCTCATCGCCTGGAAGAAACAGCTGCATTCATACTGTCCACTGATAGTTCTTTCTTCGCTGCCGTAGCCGGCTGAAATTAGTTTATAAAGGAATTGTCTGATGATAGTGAAAAACTGTTAATATTCGCCACTGCTAGTCAAAGACGTGAATGTTTGATGTATGCGACACCAATGGAAATCATTAATTTTGACATTTTCCAAAAAAAAAAGAGAAAAAAAAAACTATCGTAAATACCTGCTCCAAAACAGTCGAAAAATCGATAATGAGAATCTCAAGAAATACTAACATCAAATTTGAAGTCATCCAAATTCTTGTATTCTGCTAGTTTTTTCTTGAGGAATGGATGAACTTCTAAGCGCCTCGAGTGCTTGTAAAATTTTAGAAAAGCCCAAAACTTCTCCAACCCGTACAGTTCGCCTCGTTTGACATCGTTCATTGTTTCCTCTTGGAAATCTAAGTATACGTTTGGCCTGAACTTACGCTCCAGACCAAAATTGTAGAATCTAAAGAGGCACTCTAACCCGTACCTGCAAAGGAATAATACTATTTGTAGAAATTCTTCAACTGCACATTAAAAAAAAATCTTCTAAAAAACTGCCGCAACAGAAAAAACAAACCTGTAACCCGCTTCCGCATCTTCAAGGGCTAAATGTCTAAATTCTTGATACATTTTTCGGTTGAAGTGGTCTCGCAAGAAGAAAGATAAGAAACGGAAATAAGTATTCATTTCAGTTGTGCCATAACCCAAATGTTCCCTTTGCTGTAGACATGATATTCGCCATTTCGTGTATATCTGTGTATATACAAAAATGCTGCTTAATACTAACGTTCAGGTAAGCTTATTAATATAATTCAAATAAACTTGGCTAATTAATCGATCTAACAAAATGCTCGTTTATCTACTGCAGTGTATCGCCCGTACAACTGCTTTAGTAGCACGCGGCCTATATCAATTTCATGAAGCAGCAGCTTAGGATACGATCTCTCCGTCGGACCGCCGGTTAAACTCTGCTGACTCATTAATCCTCAACATTAAGTGTAAACATTAACACTCGGTAACATATTTTTGGTTCGTACAAATCAATAACACTTTTTCACTTGTTTTATTCCACTTCGTTATGAGGTGGTCAGGTAACTAAGGTGTCTTTTTTTCAGCGCTGATAATCCCGTCTAATTATCGAGATGCAAACAATACAAGTAAACGAAAATTCGACATGGGAAACACTAACTTGTTCCTGGAAGCCGTTCTCTTGCAGCAAACTAAAGGAAACGTGCACTGAAAGGCCAGGTACCGCTTGGCCACTCGTTGATTCAACTGAGTCACTGAAACCATTTATTGAAAAAAATTTAGCGAGCGAACATACAAATGTTACCAGTACGTATATGTAAGCATAAATATAATATTCAACTTACGCATTAACAGAAGATGTTCGCGAACGAGTGCCAAAAACCCAACCAACAGGCATTTCAACAGGTGGATTTTCACTATGACGAGTTTTATATTTCCGTAGCTGAGAAGAATCTGGAACGGCACTTTCTTTGACTGGATAAAAGCGTGGCGTTAACATACCACATTCCGTTTCCCGTTTTGCCAATGGACTTTTTGTCTGAAACGTCTCTGACGTATTTGCAGTATGTATGAGTAACTATCTAAATACAAAGAATAAACTCATTTCCGTGTTTCAAGATATCGAAATGAATGTAAGAGGAAAATGTGGAAACATATGCCTGTTGAATATGGAGTTAAACTACAACGGAAACACCGGATGAACCTTGTGTTCCAATTTCTTCAGAAAGGAATCCTAATATAATATAACACAGACAATGCTCAAAATAAAACTTGTACCGATGATGCAGCATTTGCTGCAGCTCTTTCACGAGCCTTCTGCGCCCAAACTGAAGAAATTTCCGGGACTGTATTTGGAGTTGGGAGCACTTTCGGCAATGGTTCCGGCGCAGATTTCTGAACAGTGCTATCTTCCCCTCTTAACTGCTTGAATACTTCCTCCGGAACAGTGTCAACCTTATTTATATGAGTCTGAAAATGCAAATAGACAGGTGCGTAAAAAATGCATGCTCAAAACAAAAAAAGAAAGCTGATCAAAATGACGATAGAGTAATTACTTTACGACTCGCTTCTTTACGATTCCATAATTCATCCTCGTATCGCCTCAGACCATATTCCATTTCCTCCGTCAAATTTTGACTTGCATTGATAGATGTGGAATCACCGACGCGATCAAACTGCCTCTTACTGGATGGTGCTGGTGTTACAATGATCAATTTTTTGATATTTGCATCGCTTATATCTTCTGATGAATCATCCGACATTGCGCTGAAAGATCGTTATTACTGTAAAAAAAAATGACTTGGCCTTCTCCACCAACACTAAACAGCATACCATGATATATCCAGTTAAATATTAATCATTTCTTCATTGGCAGTAAAAACGGAGAAAACAGGAGAAGGAGTTATTCGGCAAAACTTACACCCTATTAACTGCTCTCCTTTCGCGACGCGGAAGATCTGACACCACAAAAAAATCGTCATCGTTTTGCATATCAGCTTCTGGAACAGATCGTGCAGGTGGCGACGAAACAGAATGAGATGCACCTTTGCCGGCAGTGTTACCAGAAATTTTGCTTTTTCTTTGCTTTCGACTTTTGACCTATAATTTCCATGTGCAAACAAAATCAGTTAATTAAACCACAAATGTAAATGTAAATTAACCGCACGGAATATAATAATTGGGTACATGGATTGTTTTGGTCGATTAATTACATCCACATATAAATCACAAACCTCTTGCCAATCCTCCACTTCAGATTCTTTCGGTAGTTCCCTACTTCGTTCCGCTATCCCATTACTGTTGTCCTCACCATCGTTATTTCTGTTCGTGCCTGACGACTGACTACGGGCGACGCCCTTCCTTTCGCTATCCTTACTGTCTTTTGCTAAATTTGAATTTGTTTCATCTGCAATTAACGCGGAATAACTGCCATCAGTCACTTTTTTGATGTCATTACTGCTGCGTCCCTCATAATTTCGTTTTTCAGCTTCAAGTGATTCCAAAAAAACAGATGGCTGCAACTCAGCTTGCGCCAAAGCATTGGAATCCATTTCAGCTGCCAGTGGTGCTGTCGTCATCACCTGAGAAATCACCGAAGATGGAACATTCCCCATCTTCATAACCGTTCCAGCTACCGGACGAATAGCACTGCTACCTGAATCCGTAGTCTGCAGCAAAGCCGGCGAAAGCGGCCACTGCTGTGGGTTATCACGCGGACGAACCTGAATAAAAGGGGTACAAAATAAGTGCGAAACGTTAAGGTGTACATTACTTTTTCTATAAAGCTTATAAACCCCCTTATTCAAGGGAAGAAAAAGAAACAATGCAAAAAAAAGGAACCGAAGGAAGATTCCAACATAATTCTAATATTACGTAGATTAAGATGATAACCAAAATTATGCAATCATTCAATGGTACAATTCTCGGAAATCATTCATTCGTCATAAAGTCACTCAGAAATCGTCCGTGAAATTTCCCGATAAAAACCACTCATTCGTTTTTATGAAGTTATAGCAACCAAATGCTTACATTTTCACTATCATCGCTGAGTTCCACTTTATCGCTACTTCGTAAAGCTTCCGTAATTAACATAATGTTGTCGGTGAGTGTACGAACACGCGGGAAACTAGCTATCAATGCTAACGATAAAAAACCATTTTTATCCATCTTTCGACGCAAATAGAAATCTTTCTGGAGATTCTCAGGTGACAAATAATACTCACTGAAATAACAATTCTTGGCTATGATGTATAGTGAAATGTACTGCTCCTTTCATCAACAATGCATCGGAAAATAATGATACAGGAATTTTTTAGCGGAAGAAAGGGGAAAGTGAACGATGCCATCGGATTCATAAAAGTCAGCAAGTGATAACGACACTACTATTGATTTTGCAAAAAAAAAAAAAAATTACTAAACTTACATTTGTTTTCGAACGTATTCTTTTAAAGTTTCACTGGTGATTGGTGCTTGAGGTGATATGGGTGGATAAGCGGCATGGTAGGGGACACTCATAGGGGCTACCGCTGGTCCAGGGATGAACTCACCTTTGCTTGTGAGGACACCGCTGCCAGGTGAAAGTAGAGTGGTTGGTGTTGGTGGAATAGTGTTAGATGTAAGCGACGATGCTACGCTGTCCGAACGTGACTCACCTATGGTTGCAGTTGCGGCCGCAACCGCAGGTGGCGGTTGGGAAAGCAACTGAGGGTTAAATGGGGATATATGTGAATGACGAAATGTTAGAGCCGCCATTTGTTGGTGCGCCTGGAACATAATATTCGCAGTGGGAAATGCTGCTGCCAATGCGGGATCCAAACATGTCGAACTGGGATCGAATGGAGGTATCGTGGATACGGCATAGAATTGAGCATACTGAGATTCCATCAAATCCATATAATCGAAGTTATCATCATCTCCTGCACATTCATCCCAGTCTGGTAATGGCCCACGCGCTCGTCTTTGCGCAGCAGTTAATTTGGGTGGCGCTTGTGGATGTGATCCACGTGGCTGCCATTTATCGTTACGTGAAAAGAATGTTTTGTTGCGATCTGCAATATCATCTGTTCCAACATTACCACTAGCGCCTCCGCGTTCATAATGAAGTGGTTGCTGCTGTTGCTGCTGACGACGTACAGCATCGGCTGCTGAGCCACCATTTTTATGCCAATAATCCACTCCACTTATACGATTTCCAACTATCGGTGCACGCATAAATTGTGGCTGCCCAAAATACGGTCGATGGCGATTTCCACCATTTTGAATTGTTGCTGCTGCTGATGTAGTAGCCCACTGTTGTTGGGTGATACCATTTGGTGCTGCAGCTGCCATCGCCGTTGTCTCGTCACGTTTGTTATACCTATAAAAGTAGATTATAATCATCCAGATACTATTTTGGCATATTTATTAAGGAATAAATAAAATGATGACTTAGCTATTTCCAAAATTTTATCGAATTTATTATAGGGCACTAACAATGATTCCAAACAACTGAACCATTTACGACATAATACGTAAGTGAAATGTGAATTACTCCACAACTTTATGAAAATTTATGGAGTAATTCATACACATCAAGTTTGGATTTTCAATTCCTTTTAACGTTTTCCCCCACTCCGCTTCCCCCACATTCATTTTGAATATTAATAGTCCAAAATACTCTCGGAGCTGCCGTCACTGATGCAACCTTCGAACAAACAACATAATAAAGCAACTTTGAAGCTAAATAACAAAAGTATGCTAACAGAATGAAGTGCTACACTAGACAAGAAAAAAGTCACAAGCGATCAGAAGAAACCAAGTTCAATAAAATATGTGTGCCGTATAGTGAATTTCTGAAGACATTGAAGCGATAAACCTTCGACGAGGGAATGATAATAAAATCTAAAAAACCATATTAACTCAGAAGTGCCAATATTCGGAAATGTAGTCATCCACAATGATTACCGAATAGAAATTTTATTCCAGATTGGTTTTCCATGAATTTTTTTCCTCCCTCTAAGTCAATAAATTTCAATGTGAATGAGTATTACTTTTCTTTCCTCTTTTGCGCCGTTTTTCAGTCTGTTTGAAAAAAGCTACCTCGGCTGTCCAACTGCAGGATACCTAATACCTTACAGCTCAAATTCTTTTGTAATGACGGAAAACTGAGGGATAAAAGATAAATGTATAAAATCTTTCATCCTTTTCAAATATGTTACTCATGCAGCCTATGCTAATCCATTCTTTTCTAATTAAAACCGTCTACCATATGGCTTAAGCTGATAATATAGAATACGTATTCTAGCAATGGTGCCAACGACGACCACATATCAAAAAACTTCGTTAACTCAATGAAAATGAAATCTTATTTAAAACAAATACTGGAACAGAAATCACGCCAAACAATGCTGAACAAGTGTTTTAACACGTGTTTTTTTTCGTTTCTTTCACAATGGGATTAAATGTTAGTTCTATCACATAATTTCACCATTCACTGATTTAATTCTCCCAACCTGCCTAACCAAGAACACATTCTGATTAATAAAATAAGCACTGTTACCTGTCAGCTTTTAAATATGGAAAAGTTTTAGCTAGCAAATCAGAAACTCCAAATCAACATTTAGGACAAATTTATCACTTTTATCAAAAACAAAAAGGTCTTATCAGCTAACGTAGCTGTTCCTTCCGTTTCCTTTTTCAAATTATATTATTAGTGCTGCTGATAACTGAGGAATGTTTCAATTCGCATGCAGTGCAAAATGATTATAGAATCGCAGATTCTATAATGCACCAATGACAATCATTTACAAACATGCACAGATATTCTCTCCGCCCCCCCCCCCCCCTTCTTATTCCCATCAGTGACAGCCAATACAAGAATAACAACAACAACAGGTTTACAACGCATGAAATGAAAATACCCGTTCAAGATTCAATCACGACAATTCACCACCACATTCGCTTGATACGGAAGCATGAAAATGTATTCAACAAGCTCACGCCACTCGTTTCACACACTCAATAAACGGTGTGGAAATTGAAATCAAATTCCCACGCATTTCTCGTTCAACTTTCATACAACATTTAACAAAAAGACACTCATGCCGAATGAAGGCGATACTCTGTCAAACAGCCACGAATTCAGAAAAGTCACAAACCATATATATTACTCCAGTGTCCTTACGATATCTGCACTTGCGGTGTACATTAGGACGATCCGATTAACTACCATCATTCTGGCGTTAAATGTGAAAGAGCATGTAAAGGTAGAATAAGATTATAATCGCATAACAGCACAACCGGGTATTGAAAGGGATCACCAATACTCAATACCAGTGTGCTTAAGCCTGTTTAGCATATTCCTAATCTATTTGCACATTTCGATTTAATTTTTAACCCCGTAAACCCTCTCCTCCAACAAGCAACTTATATCATCAACTTCAAAATCTTATAAGATGATGCAGCACAGGCCAAAACTGTTAATGAATCATATATTTATATCGAAGCATGCAAACACACCGTCGAAGTGTTGTGTTAATGAGAAGTACATTACAAACAAAAGAAAGAGATGCCCTTACAAGGAAGTTTGAGAAATGTAACGTTTAAATCCTCCAGAAATCTCAAATCTATTCGATAAAAGGCAATGAATATGAATTCGCAAAAATTCTACTCATAATTGATACTACATAATTACCGTTTTGCTTTCACCATATTCAATCACAACTAATACAAGTTCGAAGACTAAAGAATATCAATGCTTATTTTTACTTTCACATTTTACAATTTATACCAAACCTTGCACAGTGAATCAAAATTAAAAGCTAACAATTTGTACTTTTCGCCAAAAGCTCCTAAATATTGCTTACCAAAGCCTATAACATGTCTTCTGCGCGAAAAAAGAAAAAACAACATTAAGTTTGTTAGTCGCCTGGTATGAGCGAAGAAAACGAAACGGGAAAGCAGTATTTTCATAAATAAGAAACCTTTGTGGTGGATTTGTATTCATTGCTTTCTGGTTGCGGGCTTTCGGCTGATAAGAAGGATGTGGGGTTAGAGGTACCGGCGTAACCATAGATTTTTGCCCCTGCGCAGGCGGTATGCTGTGATAATGATGGTGTGTACCGGCAAAATCATCATCAGAATCCACTTTTTTCTTCCACCCTTGGTTTCCTTCTAACTGATAATAAAATCCGTTTGAAGCTGTATCCAGGTACCTGGAAGAAAAAATGCTAGTTAATCCGATGACCACATCGGATACTATCCACTAGAGGGAAAGAGGGAGAAAGGAGGAGGGACGGGCAAACCAAGAAGGGTTAACATGTTATTTATCCATCACTACCAACAACAGAGTGCAAATTAACATGAAAAAAGAGACAGAAGGAGCTGAAGAAAGTTATCAATGTCCCGCAACAAATATATTTGTTTTCAAAGCATACAGCATCCAATTTTCAACCTCAAAGCAACGAATACAATTCTCTGTGTTGAACGTACGTAACAAAAATCTTTAGTAACAGTAGACACTTAATGCTACTTAAGCAGTGGAATGTTAGTTTCTTTTACCAACATGAAGTTCCAACGAATGATAAATCCTGAAGTACTCATAGATCACTCCGTTATTCCACGATAACGGATGACTATAGCTGGCATGGACTTAGGTCTCTTAATGCCGCCATAGTTAAGAGCAAGAAACATCAATATTGCCCAAAGTTACCATTCGTCACAATAAATGCCGCCAAGAGCTCATAGATGTATTATGGAGCGCAGAAAAGAGGAAAGGAGTGGGCAGCCACCACCCCTCCTTCTAAATAATATTGAAAAAGGATTAATTGTAATGGTACTGAAAATTTCACCTTGCTAACTCCCATGCAAAAACAGTGCTAGATTTTTTTAAAAAACATAAACCGCATTTTTAACCTGATAAAGAAGAATTATGATAAGGAAGCTCATTGTTCGGAATTAACAAATATATTGTATTTCTGAAAACTAAATCATGAAGAATGTCGCAATAATAAACTATAATAATGTAAGCTATCAGCCAGCCAAACGAACGCATTGTAGAAAAGGATGAGAGCTTTCGAAGGCAACAAAGACGATAAAGGAGAGAGAGAGAGGGAGGGAGAAAGAGAGAGGGAGAGGAAGAAGAGACCCCAAAATCACTTCTGACAAAACCCTAACACAGGAACAGCAGCAACAAACTAAATCCAGTGTAGATGTTTGATAAATGTGTAAAGAACGACAGAAAGAACATAGAAAAAAAAAGCAATGGAAATGAGAACGAACGTAAGGTAACAACAGCAAACAGGGGAAAAGAAACGAGAAAAAGTAATGAAAGAATGGCGCAAACAGCAACGAGTCAATTTTGTTGTAACTGGTCCACAAGAAAAAAGATTATGAAAGGAAGAAGAGTGGATGATATGGCGGAAAGCAGCGAAAAGGATGAATAAGTCGATGAGCAAGAATGGTTGGAGAGTGCGATGGATCCTAACGAAAAAAACAAGTTCAAACACGCCTTAATTCTCGCCACATCATTGCGCAGTTCCTTTCAAAGTACGATGATACTCGGAGGAGAAATGATGGATGGAGCAAGGCTTATGAAAAACAAGAAAGAGCAATGATGAAGACCATTTCATGTTAAATGTGCTTAGAGAAGGATATAATAAAAAAAATGAATACTTGACCAACAGATATAATATGGTTATCGTTTGTCCTAAGTACTATTTCGCCATACCAGTCAGACAATCAGCTCAATGCCGTCGTTCACAGACCGATCATTCCATCCGTCTGTCTATATCTTTGTCAGAAAGGAAGAAAACTAACGCGGTAGATGGACGTAGACAACACTCCCATCTCCTCCCTTTGCATTATCAGCCAATATACTTTCCGATATGATGAGGAATTTCTAGGAGGAGATTGCGATCAAACGACGGGAATAGGGAAACGAGACGGTGACAATGTGTGCGTGTGTGACGACCCTATTGACTACGGAAATGCAACGATTGGCTGGCTGGCCGAGTGCTACAAACTCTCACTTCCCTCTTCCCCGCCAGCCCGTCCCGTCATCTTGCTACCTCACCTTAACCCTCAAACTTCGATTTCTTTTTTTCGAATCGATTTCTCCAGCAATAGAAATACATCTAACATGTCTAAACCACTCTACTAATACAATACTGTTCTCCTCTATCTGCATCTATCGACAATCACTCTCGTTCCTTACATACGCATACGTTTGCACATTTGAACAACTTATAACTCCAAAAAAGGTGTTTCGGGAAGTAGTCTGAGCTGAACCTCCGAGCCCAGCTATCAATATATGTATACAAATATTTTTGCATTGTATGTATCTCTCTCAGTATGCGGATATTTGGCACACATGATGTTGCCATTTTGGGCAGAGTTATGAGTAACATAAGTCTTCTTCAACTCCAAACAACTGAATGAAAAAGAACTGGGAAGTGGAAAGAAGCTTTCAACTCCTTAGACTCTACATGCATTAGCAGAAGTAAAAATTCAATGCAAGTGTATGCATGCACGGTGTGCTAAAGCATTGCCAAGATGTGTAAGCTCATATTTAAACAAACACAACATTCATGCTCGCATATACCATAAAGAATTTCTACCGAAATGAAAAATCAATCAATAATTCGGCCATTAAAAACAAACTTTTTCCTCTTTAATATAAATTTTTATAAAGAAATTCCCGTATAACAGCTGTATGTTATTATCTTACAGGGAAAAATCATTTTTCGCTAAAATTCCTGATAAGGCTCTGTCCGTTGAGGCTTTTCTTTGGGAATTCTTTAACTGTTCAGATATTTTAAAGATGACACATATAACTGTCTAGATATCTTTCATTTCATCTATAAAACCCCAACACATCCTGAAGCGTTTTTATGAAATGTATAGTAAAGACGATAACCCAAAAGTCTCCTCCATTACCGATAAGGTTTTGAAAAGGACGAAAACGAAAGGAAGTAAAACTATAATGCGATTAATCTTACATACTACGACCTCATATTAAACATTTAAAAAAGCATCAAATTAATGTGAATAGAACCAGCAGGTCACATTTAGTAAATAATTATGGCAGTTTGCAAATTGGTAAAATTACAAGTAAATGATAACGTTTCTTTAAGATAAGCTTAAAATTACCACTCAATCTACATACGAATGCTCTAATTAACGCATAAATAGTCCCCGATATCGGATAATATACTTTAAAAATTCCGACGGAATCACAAAATTTCTCTAATTAGAGAAGTAAATTACAGAATACTTATACAAATCGCACTGCACTGGACAAAATATGTCCGTAAAGCAAATTAGAGTACAAAGTATGACAGTCATGGATAATAGCTGTTATCCATGTCAAAAGTTTACTGATAAACTGGTTTTACTCAAAATTACCACTAAACCTGGCAACAGCTAGGACCTAATAAGCATTAGGTAGACAGATGGGCAAATATAGGAAGCAAGTAAGAGAATTTGGCTAAGTGATCGAAAATGACAATTATTTGTGTTGTTTTCGTGTATCTATTTATATAACGTATACTATAGAATACTATCATAAATCAGGTTAAAACATCATTCACAATACATCACAATAAATGCTTTTAATCTACGATAATTCAGCTTTCCCCACGTAGTCCGAACATTTGATGAATATACACCGTTATCTCCAGTATGAATAAAAAGCAACCTCTTATCGAAGATACTCTGAATGAAATACTATATCGAATATCATTATCAATTTAATATACATTTAAAAAAGGACAGAACAAATGTAGTACGCAATGTAACAACATAGTATTTTTTGGAGATGGCTTTAACATCTAAGTAGACAACAAAAACAAGAAGGAAAAAGAAACAGACAGATGTGCAATGGGATAAAGGGAAATATGGATATAGCATACCCCTAATATTTTTTCAATCCTATCTTCCTTCCCAAGGGTGCACTGGAATTTAAGCAAAAAGTCCGTTCGCTTCCAATTCCAATTCCAATTCAGTATTTCCTGACTTTTTCGTATTTCTTTTAAAATTAAATTTCATCATCCAGTTCGACTACTACTATATGCTTTGAAAACATAAAATTAGGTTAGAATTTGAAGATAAAAGCGGTTACTGTAAGAAAAGCGGGCAGGTTGGAACAACATCAGCAGCCGGCACACAACGCAACAACATCTTACCAGTAGTCTTCCTCAGCGTATTCCTCACTGACGGTAGCACATTCAGGACTGTATATAAGTGTCGGTGCAATGCATGATAACGGTTGTGCACAACCCAATAAAGATGCAGGCGCTAACGCTGGTGCGACCTTTGAAGCAATTTCGATCGTTGAAGCAGAATCGGTGGTGATCCCGTGAGATGGGTTGGTGTGTTCTTTTACTGTTTGATGTTTCGCGAAGCTTGGACCTCTCCTGCTAGAGCATTTCATTATACTTTTAATAGAACTGCTTCATGTTGCACATTTGTTGACATTTCGTCCTGACCATCGAAAATAGCACATTGAATAAATAACCCCTTCTCCTCCAGTTATGCTGAGTATCTATCACAGATGAAATCATGAAATAGGAAAGAACCATATTTGCTTATGTTACCTATAAAAAGACCAGGAGAGCATGAAGAATGATAACAACGAGATTGAATGAGACAGCCGACCTGTTCATTAATAGATCAGTAATACAGGATGGCACTAATTAAAGTGATCCAGTAATTCTGAAGAACAATGAAACCTTGACAACCAGTGTATGGGTGGGATGAATTAGCCAAATGTGGAATTTATAGCTACAACACTACCTTAGCAAGAATCAAAAAAACCTCTAAACTTCGAAGACTTCAGAAAATACACATGTACTTCAGCAAGCCCACTCATATCTGATCATTAAAAATAAAAATTAAAAACGAGGAAAAAAATGGTAAAAACGTAAAGAATATAAACTTCAGAGAATTCTGCTTGTTTAAAAAAAAACTGTCGACAGTTCAACACAATAAAATTGTCCGTTTGTTGAGGAGTATGTAGTACAGATCAAATTCCACCACGGGGAACTCATAGTAAAACTTTAACCAACCCAATAGAACAGTTGCCTTATGCTAGGCATTTTTATAAAGGAAAAGAATCTAAGGATCCCAAAATTCTGCAATGGATGCCCTGCTAATTAAACTGTGAGTAATGAATGAAAGCTCATGCCCAGGAAATTTCTTTCATTTGAAACCAAAATGCAAAGATTTGTTTAAAAACCTGTTTTTTTGCGGATGATCACTCTTGCTACCTGGTCCGGCATTGCCGCGCCTTCCCTGACCTTCACGTCCCGCATAATCCACATCGATGTCCAATTTCTTCCATGCTTTGCCACTTTTATTACTTTTTCCTCCATTTCCATTGCTTTCATTCTCTTTATCCCTATCTTGTTTCGCATCCTGAAGTTTTTCCAGTTGTCGACAACTTAAATTAAAATCTTAGGAAATTAGAAACAACAAAAGTGCACCAGTTTAAAAATAACAGAGAGTGATCGTTGCCATCATTACCAGTAACTAATAATCGCTTTAAATCGCCGTACATCCAAAACATCATTTATTATAATACTCCGTGATAAAGACCTGTTTTGAAAGGTAATCAAAACGATAAACCAGATGCAGAAACACGTGTCAAAAGCGAAGAGCAGAAAATAAGAATACCATATAACACACTGCCTCTGAACTGTCAGTGACTTTCACCACTTCATGACTAACAGCACCCCCTTTCGTATTCAAATTACTGAGCGCGCTGTCCGGTTTCAATTCTTCATTGACGGCTTCATTCAATGATGGCCAAGCTTTGTTATCCACATTCGTTTCCTAAGAAAAAATGAAATTTGACTGAAGTCTATCAACATAGACAATATAGAGAAAAAGATATGGATGTAAAAAAAATGGTAAAAGCTAAGTTTGTCAATGCCATGCATGTCTCAGTTCTACGAAAGTCCAAGTTGACTTGACCTATTAATGAAATTTATCGCTAAAAACCGTTGGCTGTGTAAGGAAACTGTTCCTAGAAAGGACATACGATGCTTAGCAAGCTAGAAATAACACTAAAACTTAAGTAAGTAATACAACCGAGAATAGCATTCCAAACAAAAGACTGTAGGGAGGAAGGCACCGACTTCCTGAATTCAAAAATAATTATATTAAAAGACTAATCTCCTGATCATTTATAACATGAAGATGGCATGGTATGTTAGAAAATGAAATTTCTCGAAAAATTGCAAATAAATATTAAAAAGTATTAGTAACATGCTTTATGTGCTAGTTTCTGCTTACAGATGGTTTGTCCGAATGCCATTAAGCTTATTCAGTACACATTCATTATCATAAATGCTAGACTGCTGATGACGTGAACATTGCTAATTACTAGAAAAACATGCACTTGCAGGGGTTAAGTCCTTAGCCCAATTACTAATAATTAATAACTATATGAAGGACAGAAGGAAGAGGGTAAGGAAGAATGGAAAAAGGGCAGGATATAACGATTTATGTTATTTGGGTATTTGCACTGCGAGAGCAAGCTTTGATATTAGAGCATAGAATTTCGAGAATATCACATCAGCTATGTAATGGACACGTACTTCGGCGTCAAGTTGTTCTCCCTGTTTTGTTTGACCTGAATGAGTAGGCTTCACCATTTTCTTCGAATTAATTCCACCTGTGGATGTTAGCGTTTCTTGCATCACTAACTGAATAAACGAGACTGATAATAAACATTTACAAAACGCACGTTATTAGTAGGAAAATATCAAATAGGCAAGCATAACGGACCATGTCCTTAATTATCAAGTCAGAAGAGCACGGACAAAGTACACGACTATCAAGTATCAGAAATATGTCAGAAATATCAAAAATATGCTCCACTGAATATTTATTAATGCAAAAATCACGGATAAAGTTCACATGTGCAAAAATCCCAACAAATTTTTCTTGTTCAATTTACTTAAATTCGTTACTATTAATGAAGTCGACCTGTCTGGAAAACCGACATTGTTCAAAACGAAACATGCCATATAATTTACACGTATTGGACAAAAGTAAATGAAAATAAGCATAAGATTTGATATAACTGCAGCAAATGTAAAAAAAGAAGTCAGAGAGATCAAAAAACTGAATGATATTTCACTAGAAGTGAAAAATTAATGTTTTAACCAGCATGGTCTATATGTTTCAATCTTGATAGAATTCAGTAAAATGCACTACACATCTTATTTTTCTGACAGAACCATACAGGTCAAATTGTACAAGGCAGATGATCACGATACAGTATCTCTTACTTCTACCATTTCCCGATATAGTTCAACCAAACGGATAACCAATGAATTAAGCCTGCCGAATTCATATTAAAACAAACCTTAATAACACTGTCCACATCACCTTCCACCGTTTTCAAACGTCGAGATACTTCTTGCGAACTAGCTTCTTCGTTTTTTGAGGATATCTGAGAATTCAAGACACAAACTTCTTCCTTTGACTCTTTTGCTTCTAAAATGCGCATACTTTTGAATTTCCCCTTCGCAACCATAACTTTTATGATTATACATCACTCGATCAGAAAATTTGATAGAGAGGATAACTATTAATACTTCACATATTACGGTTTTGCTCAGAAATGAAAGGTGGAAAACAACAAGCTGAAACTATGACATAGCACAGTTAATACAGTGAAGTCAAATATGATGCAATACAACTGGATTTAATGTAACTTAGTCATATTTCAAAAAGTGATAACGAGCTGCTTAACTGATATATTAACATTATCAATACATAACAAAGTATTGCTTAGAAATCTACAGCTGTTAACATCAAAGTACGGCGTTCTTTTTTGACAAAAAGCATACATTAACAGACAAAGAAAAAAAGAACTTAGCTTACCTGCTACAGGTTGTTTGAACCAGGCGTTCACAGTTGGAAGTGGAGCAGGACCTAACACTACCTCAGGTTGCTGGTCCGTATGTGTTTCAATTTCTTCCTTACTTACCGATTGTACGTTATCATCCTAGAAAGAATAAAAATCAAAACATTACCATTACCGAACACATTTGCGACATGAAGCTACTTCAATTTCTAATTAGAGCTTTCTCCATTTATGAGCACTACTTCCGTAACCTCGAAAATAACTTCATGGTAAAGCATCTGGAATGTGAAACGCGCCGTTATCTTGATATCTTAAACTACACCTCTTATTTTCACAGAAAAATAGCAGACCACTAGAGTGCACTACAAAATGAATTATATGGAAAAAGCAAGCCCAGTAACATTTTTCAAAATGACCTTTCGTGATCGATCACTTTTGAGACGTGGTTTGTTACGCCGCTGAATTTGTTGATGATACTGATTTTGGTGTAGTCCAAACTGTATCGGACGTTGAGCATGAACATTACCATCTGAGTCCAATTTTCGTTCCTCAATAAATCGTTGATGTAAACCATCTTTGTTCTTAGTGGAAGAATTAGGGACAGATGACGCGGTTACATCACATGAATTTCCAATACCACTTGTTTGACTTCCTGATTCCAATGCACTGATGCTTACATCCACGAACCCACTGCTTGCTGCTGCAGTAGTAGTAGCAACAGTAGTATTAGCAGTAATAGCAGCAATAGTAGTCGCAGTAACAGTAGTAGTGGTAGTAGTCGCAGTTGTAGCAGAAATAGTAGTAGAAGTAGCAGTAGTAATAGTAGTTGAAGCAACCACGGCAGTGACAGGGGCTTGCGTTACCGTAACATTTCCAGTGCCAGTACCGTTCGTACCGATAGTTCCGGAAACAATCCGAGCAAATGTTAACTGTGGCTTATTCGCCATAAAAAAAAATCGAGAGTGATGCTTCGCTGAGAAAGACTTCAAACCTAAATCTGAAATCAAGAGTGAATAACATGAAAATCCACTAAACAATAACGCTAACGTATTGACCAACTTACCCTTTCTCTATACTTCACCTTCTATCATTTCGTTCATTTTCCTTCACATGCCATATCACAAATACGTCTTTCTGCAGTCAATATGCTAATAATGATGCAAAAAAAATGTCTCAATCTAAGATTGCATCGTTCGTTTCGTAACAAGACAATAACAAAGTCACAGCGTTTTTGCACTACATGCTTCGTGAGACTGCAAAGTGACGTTTCAGTAATTGTACGTATGTATGAATCATAAATAACGTTTGTAAATAACGAAGTCGTTGTCTTCCTGTACTCCATGATACAAACTATTTCATCATTTCACGTAATGTATCAGATAAACAAAAAAAAGTAAATAACAACAACATACGTTTCACAAACTGATATCACAAAATAAACGGAAACGTAAGTGAAGCAGAAAAATGAAAGAAATACAAAAAGGTACGGTAAGGAAATGAAAGGAAAAAGGAATTCTTTCTGCAACATACAAATCACTGATTGCTTTCTATATTAAGCTGCTATTCAATTAACGATCAATCAACCAAACAAATGCTAACCTAAATCATCGCCCACTCAGTCCAAATCTTGTAATCATCGGCATTTTATGATCACGTACGCGACGTGTAATATATATGTCAATTATAGCTGCATATAACAAACCACAACAACAGTGGTACGAATTTTGTAAAGCAGAAGTTAAGCGTGCAAGTATGACAACAAAAATTTCAACAAAAACAATCACTTACCTCACACCCTCCAACCTTTCCTTCTCTATCTTCCCTCATCCATCTCTCTCTAACCTTATCTTTCGTCTTCTAACTATTCCTTCCTTTCACCTATCTTTTTTCATTATCCGTATCTGTTCCTCACACAATACATACAGCATCACTTAGGTAACCAAAACTAAAACGGAAACGTACGCTACGTGAGATTTCTTCCTCCATTTACACCCAAATGATACATACAAAGTAATCTTCGCGTCGTTCATGTAATTTCAAGCGAATGAAAATGGAAGATTAAGTAATCCTTCAATGGACAGTCAATATCGGGATGAAAGCGTGGGAGGCATAGGGGTGGGAGTGAACTTACTGCTAACGTGACTTCCCTTCGTAAACACCCGAAGTATACCTAACCATAGATACAAGCTATCTATCACATGCTGTTTATTACGTATCCCACCAATCCTCTCCCGTATTCTCTCTATATCCATGAAGACGAGTCTGCACGGCGCTCTGGTCGTGGTGCACTTTCCATATACATACATACATACATATATACATATACACACACATGCACACACACACCCAACGTTCTTATATTAGGACCTCATGGGAAGCGTACATATACACGTACGCGCGCACACACACATACGCATATACACTCACATGCATTATACATTTATACATTCACATACATGCATACATACACTCACACACACGCACACGTACACACACATTCACACACATACATACACACACTAACATACATACACACATACACATATAACATACACACATCTACACATACGCACACTTACATTAACATCGACACTCACATACATACATACACATACACATACACACATACACACTAACATAGACCCATACAACACTCACATGTACACATTTTTTCTTCGTATTCTTCGACCCAACAACGTATAACTCTCCCTTCCTCTGCGTTTCCGCACATACATACATACATACGTACATGCATGCATATATGCACACATATATACACACATACACGCATACAGACATCACGTGCATCACATACAACACACACCGCATATATATATATATATATATATATATATATATGTATATATATATGTATACATGCCTACTTACACACATGAATATGCATCACAGACATTCACGCGCATAAGTATATGCACATAGTCACGTACACATACTTGATGTATATGACAGCCACATACACGTACACTGAGGATATAAGCCACACACGTTACACGTGCAAATACGCGTACACACACCCACATGCGCACAATCATGTACATATGACACGCGTACGTACGTTGGGACACTTGCAGAGACAGCAGACATAATTTAGAGCTGTAACAAGTACTTCATATTTTGGCTTTCTGCCGAGGTATTACGGTAGACGGATAAGGGTGACCTGCGAGGTGGTCCGCTGGTGCGGCGGATGGAGGTTTGGGGCAGCGGTGCGATTGGTGCAGGTAAGCAGTACGGAGAGCTCTAAATAATGGAATAGTCGGATTCCTCACTGACATTCCCCTAAAGATCTTGAAAACCGTAAAAAGTGGGCTTTTTGTTCTGTTCCTGAGTGTTAAAACGAGGAAACTTTGTACTTTGGTTATTTCTTTCTAGCTTTCGCGATTCCATGACTTCCCTTCTTTACTTTCACTCCTTAAGCATTGAAGCATAATTGTTAATTCAGCAATACCTTAAAATTTACGATACCATTCATTACATCAACTACGTAGCATTGATAACGACGGATATTAGTCAGTAGTAACCTTCCCCTCTTATTTGAATTATTATTACCAGAATCTTCAGCTTAAGAAGATCACTGGGAGAACATATATCGGAAGCACAGGGATAAATGCACAAGCGAACGACAGTTTACACTTATCCACTGATCTACAATTATTAATAGAATATAGTTCTTGTCACCGGTCAACCAACCACAAAGTTGCCAGTTTTTGTCATCGGGCTCATCGATGCGCACTTTAATAGTTAAATATTGGCTGAAATTCATGCCTATATTGGAATTAAATGGAAGTTAGCATAGAGTTACATTTTTGCGCGATGTAAACTTGTTTTCGAAGATTTATACTGCAGCACATCTGCTAACATTACCACTGGAATAAGAGTGCAAAACGCTTTGTTGTTTTTGGATACCATCGCTATTTATGGTAATAAAAAGTGCAATGATCCATGAAGTCTTGGGATCTGTATAGAACTGATCAAATCGGAACTCAATGATGACCACTGGTCATTGGTTGAATTAACCGATTAAGCATATTGTGAAAAATTTCATCATCAATTTGGGTAAAATGGTTCTCTTTTCCCAGAATAAGATGAAATGACGAAATCATTATTACACAAAGTAAAACATAGACAGCTCACTGACAGCACATAGTATCTTAACCATAGTGAATAATTGCAGCTACTTGGAGAACTTACAAATGACATTTGTATTTTCTTACTAAAAGTCCTAATTCATTCACGAAACTCTTAATCAGGCGTGTTTCTAGTAACATTATATCTGATATGTTATCAAGAAGAATAGGGAGAAAAAATATGGAACCTAAGCCGAAACTACAACATATTGTGTTAATGTATATTGTAGTTTGGAAATCATTTAGGGTAAAGGGTCATTTATGGAATTCCAGAATAGCAAGTGTGTTTCCTTAAAGCGCTCGATTCCTTCAGTTTCTCCTTCAGATTTTTTCAGTTTTTTTCTCTTTTTTGGGGAGAAGAGGTTTTAGTCACACTAGCTTCAAACTGTGATGCCAGCATTCAGTTCTCGAGCTGCCTGCTTCCATATCTTTCGATCCTCCGTTATCCAGTATCTACAATGGAAGTCCTCATTAAGGCAACTTTTCATTACATTCCAAGCTTTAGAAAAAACCTGAAATTAAGCAAGAATGGTGTTTATGACGTGCCTGATATTGTTTTCAAGACCATCAGTTATTGTCGACCATTTCGGGATTGATTCACAATCCATTATATTCAAGCACATGTCGAATATATCTCCTAGTAGCTCTCGCTGAGGCCAACGTCTGCAAAAAAGTAATGTCCGCACCAATATTACATCTATTTTCCTTCTTTTTCTTTACAATATCAAATTATTTTAAACATGTTTTTCAGTAAGAAAAAAAAACTTTTGTCGATGGACAAGATAATGAAGTGAATGTCGGGTGTGTGGACCGAAGGTTTACGTTTGGTTCAGTAACCAAAATTCCACTTTAAAACTATCAGACTGTATTTATAGCTAGTAATGATGCAGATAAAAAAAAAAAGTTGTGTGTAATCTGGAACCAGAAAATCAATGATTATAATTATTTCCTCTACACTACTGATTAATGGAGCTAGAGAAATCTCGCACCTAACATTAAAGGATAAGAACAAATTTTTTAACTTTTAAAGATCCTACTTCGGAAACATAACTAAACCTTTTCATCACAGATGTTGCGCTGTACCGTCCAGCAGTATTCCGGTATGTCTTCATGTACTTCCCATATATTATAACATGGAGCGTTGAGATAAAACCGTAGAAATCTGTTTGGTATGTCCATGGTCGACCATCCTCAACTTCTTATATAAGTGATTCGAGATATTGATATTGCTTATTAAGTGTCAGGACCATGCTAACGTAAAATTTATTCCGATTTTTAAAAATATATTGACGTTTGTTGGAAATGAAAGCTTACTTGCATCTCAGAACAATCGAAAGCAACTGTTCCAGCCTTTCCTCGGAATGTGCATCCTTTCAAGGAATTCATGTCGATGGCACGTCCCCAATCAATCAATTTTAACGTGAAAGATTTTTTGTCAAGAATTTGTTCTAATGTGGCATCTTCGTTTAATCTAAAGAACAACAAAGTTATATAAAGCGTGAAGATTCACGTATCCATAGGAAAATTGTAGCTAACCGATTAAGGATCATGAAGTTATCCGGTTTAACATCACCGTGTATTATTTGGACATTATGAACTGCCCTCAATATTCGACCGATCTCCCAGGCCAAATAAACCGTTAGGAGACCCGAGCATGACATATTCTTGGCTTGTAAATTATTTATCATATCCTGGAAGTTCAACACAAATTATGGAAATAAAATAACTTTTCAGGACCTATTTGGAAATACATAAAAAAGAAAAAACATCCAACCCTTGTAAAAAAAATTAGAAAACTAGATTTCGAAAATCGCTAATTAAGACCAGACTATGTAAAAATGCACGAGGTTTATGGAAACGGAAAACTCACAAGAAGATTCCCATACTTGTGATACTCATAAACAATAGCACTTGCATTCGGAAATAAGTATGCATCACGAATATTCATTATGCCATCCAACATTGCTTTCGGCATTCGAATACGCAATGCTTCACAAGCATAAACTTCCCACTTACATGGTGGCATTTCAAACTGCAATAAATTAGCAAAAATATCACAATTAACGAAACCAAAATAATGGCGATTCAGATGGATTTCCGATTTTTTGACCCTTTATTAATTGCAAATCTTATAGACTGAAGCCATTTAAGCCAACACTGTTATCCTTGCATGAAAGCAATCAAATAAATATAGGGAAAAAATACCTTCACTGCATAAAAGTTGCCATCTTCTGATTTGCCCTTGTAAACTTTGGCAAAACCGCCTTCGCCGATCAAACATTCAATATCAAAACGTTCACCTCCTAGAACCACAGCAGCCCCAGGACTAATGCGACTACATCTTTCCTGTGGAAGATATGCAGATAAATTCCTGATTATTTTATCCTTTATTTATTGCAAATGTTATAGGTCGAAGTCAATTAAGCTACAACCGTTATCCTTTCATGAATCACAAACTGTTTTCTACTTCACCACAACAATTTTTAACGTCTAACATTTTAAAAATAGCAATATAGCAAGTAATTATATAGCAAGTAATTAGAGATTAAAAGTAGTATTTACATAAACAGTGTAAATTACCGGGAATTCGTGAACATTCGTTGGGCAGAAATGTTGACTGGTCATAATTTTGTCACGTAATTTTTCATCCCAAGGATTTATTTCAGACTCAGTATGCGATCTATAATGATTTGTTCCCTCTACGCAATATTTCCATAAACAAACTGCCAATTTAAAAACTTTAAAAAGATACGCAAAAAAATATCACACCTCAATCCTTCATGAGTATTTTCATTTGAATCCTCATCATTTGGAGCAATTGAGAGTCGACGTAATTCTTCATGAATATTATTATTAACACCCAGTCCAGCTTTTTTACATCCAATAATATTTTCGACACCAATTTTTTGCGATAACTTCGTCAAAGTATCCCGACGTTGCTGCAAATGAATTGTCGATGAAATCGACAGATTTACGGCAAAAAATTTCCTCCTTTCTAGCTTTGGGCTCTTCCTACTCCAATTGATTTAAAAAAAATAAATAAAATCTGATCAAAAACAAACTTCGGATATGCTCATTCGTCTACCAAAAGCAGTATTTGCAGTGAGAGCTTCATCAAACATCGGTTTTTGGAAAAAAGGATCAGTTGTGTTCGAAGGAAGTGGACGAAACGATTCTAAATGCATACAGAATTACACTGATTCAACGATTGTTATGAAGATTCTATGCTGACTGAATGGTATGAGTTAACCTTCAATCGGATCTTCTATCGGAGGTGCAAAATTACTTGCTGGTGTTGATGTTACTGCTCCTGTTTTAGCCATTTTATTCAAACCTGCCAATGTTTCTTCATCAATACGATCAGGAAGAGGAGGTTTTATTCCTGAAAAACCCAGTAAAGAGGAAAATTAAAATTCATTCTAAAAACACACGAGTAATTTAGCCTATAAAGGTATGTGATATTTCTTTGGATATTTCAAGTTTTCATGTAGATGCCATTAAAATGAAACTGAAAAATCACAACTAACCCCCATAGTTCCGTTTTTCCACTTCTGTCGATGTTTCATTATCTTGTTCAAGTGGCGCAGATTCAGTTTTCGCCATAACAGATGAGTGGCGAAAGTAAGCAGTTGTCGCAGGCTGTAAAACCATTTGAAAAATTTCAATTTTTTCATAGTCCGTAAGAAAACTAGGGTTAAAAATGCTTTTGATTCTCTCGGTCAATGATTCCGCCTGGAATTTTGAAGATTTCTTTTTCCGTCATATATTTTCCTCCACTTTTTCCATCAGCGTTACTGTCCTATATAATGAGGCTAAATAACTACGGTACGATTGATGGTCAGGCAGTTAAATGATGAGACATTTATCATGACACTTAAGCAAGTAACCAATATAACCAACAGAAGACCTTGCAAACAGTCAGAGTTAATTTACTGACATGAAATTATCCCACTTCTTGCATTGCCGAAATAGAGAAGCATTAACAGACTGTTAACATGTAAGAATTTATGTTTCTTTTCACTAAGACTGCATAAATATTAGGGAGCAAATAATTTACTCTTCTGAATGCTGGTTGAGGTTTACAAGTGTCATCATCACGAATGTTTACGTTCTTTTGGTAGTCCAAATCTTGCTCCGTGCACAATCTACAAGATTACATTGTACAAATATCACTTCATATTTTCATGAATAAGACAACAAAATGTGAAAACCTTTTTTTCTGAAGCATCTGAAGATGGCATGCTATTCTCATCACTATAAACAATAAATGGTGCAGTTTGCTTCGATGGTTCGGTTTCTTCCACGTAAACCTGATAAAAACAAAAGCAAAAAGGGGTGAATTTTTGCAGGTTTTTGGGAAAATAAATTGAATATTTCAAAAAACATTGCAAAAATCACTTCAAATTTTGTTTTCTTTGAAGCAGGAGGAAGATGGGCCTGTTCACTTTCATTCATAATAGTTTCTTGCAATACTGTCGTTTCATCTGTTTCATGATGCACTATAACGAAGTTAAATTATTAAATTTATGCATATGGAGGTTAAACTGGTATTGTAATATAAACTCCATCAACATCGGATTTGATTATTAACCACTGATTCAGTAATCAGCGTCATACCTGAACGAGGAGGTGGAACTGGCACTGTGCTTGAGAAATCGCGCATCGCCTTACTTAGAAATTTTTCCGTAAAGGAAGTACCATGAAGTGTGAGGTGCGAGGACTGTGGACATTCTGTAAGCATTAAGTTTCTTGAAACATCCAGAAACATATAGCTGCTGAATTTTTGGTTGAAAACACTGACCGGATGGTTTATCGGTAAGGATATCTGTATTCACGAGAATGTCATTTTCAGCAACAACAGCAGCAGTGCCAGCTAATAGATATGGATCATCAACCGCTTCACCTGCCGATGGATGCGTTGACTTCATCAATTCTACATTGTGAGATGGATTTACCAAGGAACCACTAGCACAACCACTTCGTTCCTCGCTTATAGCCGATAGTTTTGAAACTGACATTCTGCTGGAACGCCTAATCCTTTGCTAACGACAAGCAATAATAAACTGATACTCAGAATTTCTCAGATATTTGAAAATAGTTCATGATCTCATTGTTATCATTGATTGCAGTCCAAAGTTTTTTCTGATATATCTGATAGATATCTCACTCAAGTTTCAAATAATTTCATTGTCACATTAAATTAAATGTAGAAAGAAAATTGCTGCAGGAACTTTTCGTCCAAAATATCAACCTCCGTGGTATATCCTGATGAACGACGTAATTCCTTGATTCTGCAAATATTTCCTCAATTGATTGTTGCTCATCCGCTACTTTCAAATGGCCTTTTACCGTAGAAGGATGGGTCAATTTTGTCGAGCTCTCACCACCTGCAGGTGCTTTCTGTTCCATGCTACAATTCAAAACTGATATAAAATCAATTAATTTCTCCCACATTCGTATACTAAAAAACACAGATGACAAAAAAAACTTACGATGTTGTCTCAACAGTTCCGAAAAACATTCTCGAATCTTTTGACGGATCTAAAAAATGCAGTATCAAAATCAGTTTCCTTAGGAAGTAAAAAGAGCAAAATAATTCCGATTAGGCGCTGACTTTATCCACCTGTAACAGTTAAAAAAAAATACCAGGTTTCTTGAAAAGATTTACAGTCATTTCATCATCCATTTCGAAATACTGATAAAGCATGGCCCTGAAATTTCATTACAATCGATTTATTATGACTGGATAAACCGAAGGGAAGTAGACGTCGATGAAGCCCTAAACATAACTAGTCCCAATCAAGTTCTCTTTCGGAAAATAACTAATAACTAATGTAATATTGCAAAAGAAATGCTGTAGTTAATGAGTACCGATTGCAATTTCTTGAAGGAAAAAACTGAATAAAGTCAAAAATTATAACTGGTTGCTAGGCATTCGATACACGCATTACGGTATAATAAATCATAATGTGCTGTATCACATTTATGAGACGCTGCATTACAAATCTGTGCTAAGTTATAAAACAATGCCATCACCTAAAAGCTTCATCAACTCGTGATATAGGCTTAGCATTTGCTTTTACGGCTTTACTCCATATTTCGTTAAAGCGCTCTTTGTTCCTTTCTTCTGCAAAAATCTGAAACAATTGCTTTTTATAAGCCCTAACTAAACATGATCCTCTTTAATATAATTGCAAAAAACTCTTTACCTCTGCCCACTTGACGTAAAACTCTGCCAGTTCATAAAATTGTTTTCGATTGTGCAACTCTTCCATCACTAGCTTCATACCCATTGTGCGACTTAATTTCCCCTAAATTATATTTTATAAAGATTTGAAACGGTTATTTCAAAAAAAATTCTTAGCGAAAACGAAGTTACATTTTACCAGTTAGAAGATATGGATATATTTAACACAATGTCTGGGCAGGGCACCGAAAACCATGTTCACTGACTTAAAATTATTGGTGACCACCTTGTCCAATAATCTTATTGTCCAACTCACACGGTTAAATGACAAGCTTCAGGAAGGAAAACCATTAAACCGTACCATGCGTTTTAAAATTTAGCAGTTGTTACTTTAGCGAACTATCGATCTCACTTAAATTAGGTAACCATAATTACTCACAACAATGCAGAAAACGTATAACAATCGTTCATCATTGTAAAATGGATTACTTTCCACAGAATATCGCAATACGGTCTCCATGGCTGCTTTTCGCAGACGATGATTATTTTCGTCATCGTCGAAATTGTTCTCCATCCATTTTAACTGACTATAATTTGAAGAGATGGAAAGATTATCTAATGATGTAGTCTCAAATGTCATCTCATTACAGTATTGTAATGATTTTACATAGAAAGTGTAATATATTTCAACAATATAATATAAAAGACGGTAGCAGTTTAAACATCGAACATACTTCAAGACATAATCCAATTGTTTCGTTTCTGGTAACGTCCTGAAATTACGCCAACTATATGGTGCTTCGTAATTTTTTTGATTTTAATTTTTTAAATTTAAATTTTTGTTAAGAATAACATGACCAATTCTCTTCCATTATAACTACTAATCTATATGAAAGTATTCTCTTTCATTATAACTGTTGATATATATTTCGCGTATTTATGGTTTTTCAATTAATGATGAACTTAAATTTAGTTAAAAAAGAAAATTTAAGTCATCCAAGAACTGAATGAAAATTATCTCGCTTAAAACTAAAAATTATAAATGAGAATTAAAAATTAGTTAAAAATTGCCCAACTAAAAACTGAAAGTTAGTTGTCTATTGAGGAATTAATTGAAGATGGTTAAAAAAGGGTGAAGGAGAAGCAAACAGTCACAAACAACTTACTTAACGAACGGCGGTAATGACTCAAAAAACCCCACAACCATTGATTCTGATGAATTCGCAAATCCTTTCTTCGTTCAACGATCAACCGATCGAATAAGCAAAACAGAATAATAGGAAAGAAAATGGGATGAACACTAAACAACTCACCCTTACTAAGTGTAACAAGTCAAATTAAATAAAAAATATTTGGGAAAAAGTGTTGGCGCTAAAATTTCAAAAAACTCGCTCGCGCGCTATTGGATCGTTATGCAAATTTAGGATGACCTATTCTAGCATAGGATGATTGATTGGGTGAGAAGCACGTCGAAAATGCTGGAATATTTGCAAATTCTGCAGAAGATAGGGTACGGTAGATACGGTAATAATTGACAGTATAATCATATGCTGTCCAAATTTGGCATGTAAACTGAAGGGATATTGTGATCATAGTGTTCACAAGAATTTATTAAAGGTGCGTATAAAGTGAACAATCACATTCTTTAGTTAAATTTGTATCGATCAGAATAAGTCGATCATCCAATGGTACATCTCGAATCTTATAACATCCACCTTCATCTCGTAGATTCGCATCAATATAATGACAAGAGCTGCTGAAATTGTAATACGACAAATTCGTTGGACACCTGAAAATACATCCACTTGAGCATTTCTTTATTTTAATTGAAAATTCAAGTAGTTTAAGGATTAATTTAATCATTTTGTACTTTATCACTTTTACTTCATGCTGAATGACAGTATTTGAAAATAATTCAATTAATGATAATCCTATTTTGATAACCTCTTTCTTTCAATATTCCTATTTTATTTAAATATATTAGATGTGTGTTTAGTATAGCTTTAGTTTTATGCATAGTTTTCATGCCTAATGGCTTATGTCAAGTACTGGACAAAAGCAAAAGTAAGTAAAGTAAGTCTAAGCCTATGATTTGCAAAACTTTATTTCAAAATCATAGAGTTCGTTCCAGAAAAAAAATTCAAAATTATTCAAGATTAAATTAATTCAAAATTATTTGATAACAGTATCTCTATAGCGGTCCCTATATCTTTCATTTGATAATAAATAAGTAAATATGTGTACGAATAGAAAAGGCACAAAATTTTTCCCATTCAATGGCAAAAAAAAAAAGGAAAAAACAATATTTCCAATTATTCATTCTTCAATTATTATTCAGTGATGTCTTTACTAACAAATAAGTACTGCATGGTGCGCTGTCAATACGATCGAGCAAATCCGCAGGACATTCCGGTTTTCCGCCATTTCGAGCTTGTATTATGGAACTTTTGTTCACTTTACGAATACGCTGCGGAAAATCTTGTCCAAAAGTTCGACATGTGGATGAACAATCGGACCAGTCGAGGTAAGTAAAAAGACATGGAAGTTTCATTATTCCCATCGTTTTGTTTATCTATAATATTTTCATTAAATTAAATTTAATCAGAGTTTAGATATACTTATCAGTTTTTAATTAAAGATTATTGGCAAAAGATGTGTCTGTTTCATACCCAATGCAATACGATATGATACGATACTGTAAGGATAGCAAGGGATAGGGCAAAGTGATAACATAACAAACTTTTTCAGTTAACAATTGATTGCTCATCAATATTCTATCCGAAGAAAGAAATACATAACACAACTTGGAAATGGTATCAAAATAAAAAGGTTAATAATAGAGAGAGCAATTTTTGCAATAAAACTACGCAAAAGGTAGGATATGTCAAAAGAAAAAAAAGAGGCATACTTTAATAAAACCATTTCATAATTATCAACCAAAGTTATCAGAAAATTACAAGCAAATAAAGTTATCAATCGTTATAAGCAAATGTATATGACAATGTTATGATACTTATCTAATACACATACTTACATGAAAGGTAAGAACGATATTCCAAATTATAAACGTAGTAAGCAGGAGTAACAGGAGCATATTAATAATCGATGCAGAGCAATTAACAATTAACATTAGACGAACTTTCTTATTGCGTATAAATGGTGAAATTGTCTGTAAATATCCTATAAATTATATATTGAGAATATATTTTTAAAGATTTGAATATTTTATTAAATATTTATGAAAAAAACGTTCAGAAAAAAATTAGAAATAAAAAAAGAAAAAGAAAAACAAACATAAATTATAGTTGCAAAACGAGTGGATCTCATCGATTTACTTATCGTTCCTTCATATTCGCTGATATCTGAAAGCTGTAACTACGGAATAAGTTTTAAATACTGCAAAATTTGGAATCAATCATTTCTGAATGTTTCCAGTCTTCTTCGAAAATTCTCAGATACCTCTTCCGTTGCTTCTCCAGCAGATACGTTAAACATCTGTGGTGCTTGTTCACTCAGTTGTTCAACATCAGTAGTTGTTGGTATCGGGCTGTTCTGATCTTGTGGTAATTCTGCCTAAATTTTCCATTATTAGCTTTATTTGAATCATTTCACGAATAATCAGCATATTAATCAATAATCAAACGATATCTCGAAAGATTCCACTATCTTATCATCTTTTCTTACTTTCTAACCATCAGATAATGTTGTTAAATATTCGAGAACTAAACACTATTCATTAATAAATGATATTTTCCACATGTTACTTCACATATAATCATCGATATATGAAAGCTCTTAGTAATTCAATTAAATCAAATAATTTGTTGGACACTAAATTTGGGAACATAAAGTGATACCGGCATTTCTGCTGGTTTTGAATGCAAATCATTTTTTGTTTCAACAGGTTCTGAACCTGTAACACCTGTATGTGAAGGTGAACTGGAGAGTGTTGATTCCATCTTATTTCACTCTAAATTGCAAAATTTTAGCATATCAATTTGATATGAGATGAAAAAAAACAATGATAAATTTAGATGTAGGATATCCTTTGATCTATTTTCATCAAATGAGTGCACAAATCGCGAATTACCACTTTCTCAATGTGAGAACCAATCGAACATGAAATTGAAATAACGATCAACTGATTATTTGTTTTATTTTATAACCATTTATATAACAAAAGTTATGCATATTGCATGCACAAATGTTATTGGTATGCTTATGGCAATATGCATGCTTTGATAATTAATATATGCTGCAAACAATGAAATTGTTTGGGAATGTTGCAAAATTGTACTGATAATCTATTCTCGTTGTTCAATAGATTCCTTAATAAGCATAATTAAACATGCAAACCTATTTTTAGTTAAATATATCCGGAAATTGCAGGAAGACTTCAAAACATCCTTCAATTGTCATAAATGCAGATCACGCAAAATGACATGTGCATGCATTCCAATATGGAATATGTGTTTGAAAATGTAAAATGTTTGAAAACATTTTGCAGTTTTAAACATATATTCCGCATTGGTACCTTGCAGTTTTAGGCATATACCCCGCATCTGTATTTATCCATATTTTCATTTTTCTCACTTTTACGTAACTATTCTGTTGAATTTCAACGCTTATTCGTCATGACAAATTGTGTTTTAATAAATCTATCTTAGTTCCATAATGCTTCTTTATTCTTATACCACTCATTTGTTAAGAATTTATCATTAAAAATCTTGCTATCTAATAAATATGCGCAATTTTTATTTTTTCTTTTTTTCACGATTAAACAAAATCAACAATATTTAACAAAATCGATCATTCATTATTGTTTGTTGATACGAATTTAATTTTAACATTTAATGCTAATATTGGATGAATTAAAATAGGAGTTTTTTGACATGATCACATTCTATTTCTGAACAATTTTTTGTCAAGTCTGCATCCATAAAAATCAAACGATCATCCAATGGTACATCGCGAATACGATAACAACCACCAGATGATTCTTTTAATGAATCCTTGTAATAACAACGGGTAAATGGATACTGTGATAAATTTGTTGGACATCTGCAAATATTCTATGATTGTGACAACAAAATGATAAATCAAAGTTTTCATCGCAATCGATTTATGATTTTCCTTTTTTAACAGCAAATAATTGATTGACGTATCCTTTTAATATGGTTATTCTTGCTGGAAGCAGAAATCAGTTGTATATTTGAAGAATTTCAGGAACCACAAAATTTCAAGTTAATTAGGCATACATCTAGTACATTGGATTGATCCAAAAATAATATTGAAAGTTAGGTATAACCTGAAGGTATTGCAAGGTGCAAAATCCACTCGATTTTCCAAATCATTCGGGCATTCCGGTTTATCACCTCCACGTGCTTGCACTATCGAATTTTTATTCACATAACGTCGCATTTGAGGATAATTTGATGAACCATCCCAACAACTTGCAGAACACGATAACCATGGCTCATACGTAAAAATACACGGTGATGGTTGATCATTCATAATGCCCGAAATCTGCAGGACATATATATTTTGTAACTTTTTAAAATAATATTATCATTGGATTAATTCAAGACAATTCCATTAGGATTGATAGCTTATAGTAATAATTCGTATAATTATGTTAAAAAAATATTAAAAAAAATTCCTTATATTAAAAATTGTATTGAAAAAGGAAATTAAAAAAGATTATTATAAATGTATTAAAAATAAAATGAAATAAGTGTCATCACGTCATAGTAGTTACTGTTGAAAAAAAAGGAAAAGGATAAAGGATTATTTCTGTAACGGACGTGACAATATCCTCTCTCTCTCTCGCAGTGTAAATCTTCCGGCATATGATGTAACAACATCTACTGTCTAATTTTTGAATGTTGAATCGATCCAGAATGTATTACAGTTCCTCTTTTTGATTTCTTTCGCAATGATCCCGAACAGCAATATCTTTATCAAACATAAGTTAGATCGAGAAGCGTAAGAGTAATAAGACTAATCTATCAAAGAGAGATGAACCAACTGACAGGCGGCAGATGCCACATCTGCACGTACAGTAGGAATACATTAAACGAAAAAACGGATAAATATAACGAGCAAAAGTTACCCGAAATGCAAGAATGATTTGATTTAGTAGGAGTGCAAGCGCAAGTAAAAGTATTAAGACATTGATGAACAGCAAGACAGAATTGATAACTGTTAAGTAGCGCACTTTTTTGTTTCTCATCAACGGATAGACATGCTGAAACACGTAATAAGATTCTGGAAACATAGTTGCAAGTCTTACTTTATATCATTACTGAGATGTACAGTAATATAATCAATGAGTGATTCGGATAATTTAATTTTTAATCGACTGATAGACGGTAGTTTTTATCCGACTTTACAAAGTACCCAGCCAATACCGTCTTATATCAGAGTGGATTAAATCAGATGTGACAAGGATATCGAAGTAATTTTACTGAAAAGCTTACACTAAACCAGACGAAAAAGCGACTACTGCTACTGCCGATAGATTTTGCTGTAGATGATCTTGTTGAATACACTTCCGGATCGGTAACATCGGATAACTGAGGTAGTTTGAAGAATGAGTTAGTTCAATGTACAAAAACGACAATATATAACAGTGGATTTAGTGTACTGAAAATACAAAAAGTAAAAACAAAAAATAAAGTTGGAAAAGTCCTAAAACTTCAAAATTTAAGAAATTTGAAAAAAACTGAAGATATAAAGATTTAAGGATAACTAAGAAAAAAACCTGTTCGGTATCTTCGCCAATCAGGAATTCCATTTCCTCTGGAACGCTTCCGCTAGGTTGTTCCACTTCCGTACTATCCGGTATTGGACTTAACTCTTCCGATGATTTTTTCTTAAAATTAAAAAATCATACACATCTTTTCAAAACTACTAATAGTCATAAATGTAGAATATCAGTTAAGTTAAACAATTCGCCACATTGGAACTTCTGTTCATGTTTATCATGATTTCAAGGTGAACAAAAATTATAGGATTCTGATCTTTAATGAATAAGTTATCAGTACAGATAAGTGAATTCATTCCAGTGAATCTAAATAACTCTAATATAATGACGCTACCAGAATTAAATTTAGAAAAAAAACGGTATTTACAAAGGAAATAATAAAATATATACGTACAGCAGTTGAACCCGAATCCTTTGTTTCATTACTCGAAGATTTTGTAAATGTCCGTGACATGGCTTTAGAATCCATTTTAGAATTATCAAACGATCAAGCTGGAAATGCAAATCCGTTGCAACTAGACTTTGTGATGCAATTTTTAAATTATCGAAAACTCTTTGTCACAGACACTGCATATATCAACGAAATTAACAAGACTGCCTAGTTTAACTTCAGGGTAACATGAAAACAGAAAAATTCAAAAGCAGATGAAAATAAGCGATCATAACAATATCCGTAATGAATTACAAAAACTTTAATTTTCTTTCAGTCCGGTCCAACCGATCACTGCGAATATTTTCTCTTCGAATGAATACCACAAGTTTTGGCGAATGCTTAAAAAATAGTTTTTTTTACCGGTACAGAAAACAATAACTGCATAAATTAACCGTTATTTGCCACCAACTAGATGAGCTAATCCATTATCTGCGCATCAACTGCATAAGCTAAACCATTATTTACGCAAGCCTTTACGATCAGCAATAGAACAAGAGTTCAGAAAACAACTTGCTGGATTTTCCTATATATAATAACTGCAGAAATAAGTGTTCTTCTTATGAATTCTGTAATACTCATATTTATGCTAACAGTTTGAAGTGAATCAAATAGGATTATCTGGTAATGCAACATTTATCAATTCAGATTTCTGAAAATTTTCTAGTGTGGTAAGAAATTCTGCATGCAATTCTAAGTTTTTAGTTTATAATAACTAATACAGCAAATCTTTAAAATGCATGAAAATGTCTTGCCATCAATAACCACTTAAACCAAATATCATCATGAATTTTTCTTTTCATAACTGATGAGCATAGATAAACAAATATAAATGTCGCTGATAAAAACAAGAATTACCAAACACATCTAAAATCATAGTAATAACAAAACTAATGATAAGTTACGAAATTGAATAGCAGAATGAGATCATGAAGTTAGGAAGATATATATTTCCCTCAGGTAACTTACTAATATTAAACGTTTGAAATTTCAAGAACGTTTCCCAGTGTAGCATATATTCGGTAGCACTGCTAATAGTGAGAAAATCGGTAGCTAGAAATCACATAGCTTTGCATAATACATAACAGCAAACAGAAAAACTCAATTAATAAAAGCAAGTCACAAATCTGAATTTTAGAAAGAATTAAAAGCTAATACCATGCGTTATATAGTCCTAAACCTGACAAAACAATCAAATCTTTTTAAACAAAACAGCAACGAATCCTGATAGTGAAGAGGTACATTTATTCTGAAACAAAAATATTAATTTACGCAACAACGCTATTGCGTTTTCCATAGAAATATGCAACACAGTCTTCCAGTAGCTTGTCATCTAACACATATTTCATAGCCATCTTTTCACCTATCATTTGCAAAAGACCACTAATCAAACGTTTTTCAAGTGGAAAATTGATATCCAAAAGCTTCCTGAAATTTTTACTTCTTTTTATATTTCATTTTTTTATAAGTTATAAAGCATAAGCGACTAAATAAATAACACATGATTAAGAAAGAACTAACATTACGTAATCATGCAGTAGTGCCTTTCCTTTTTCTGGAATTGAAATAAATAGCTTCTCAACAGTATCGAATTTCAAAATATCAACATTGCTCTCATCGCTGGCATCGATCGTTTTCTAAACAAACTTATAGCACAGAACTGGGAGTTTAGGAATTCCTCTGCACACAAAAACACCTTATTGAGTAACGATACACAATGCATTTTTAGCAAAAACATAGATGTTTATATTGATTTTTACTTTTCCATAGGTAGTCTTCTATCGATCGCCTCAGCTAGAATACTATTACAAAAAAATTTATATTGATCTGGTAAATTTATTTTATCTTTCCTCAGTACAAACAAAGTTAACTTGCTTTCTCTAACTTCGTTATTATATTATCGACGATGTCATATTATCATCACTATCCAAGTGATGGCAAGTTGGAGATATGAAAAATGATCTTGAGCTCAAATTCGAAACAAAATTGCAAAAGAAACGTTTACAAATGAAAAATTTACTACCGCCTCCACTTTTACATTTGATATGGATGAGCGTTTCTTTCCAGACCTATTCTTCCCATCTTCTAAAATTGTTAAGCCATTAATAATCAAAGTTTAAACATAAGATCTTATCATTTTCACAAATCCAAATTAATAAAATGACTACAATGAATCAGAACGAACAGCGTCATAAAGTCATTTACAGCATTTTCCGATGGAAACTTCAAAATCCTTCTGCAAGTTTTGTAATCCTAGGATCTTTTGAAATCGCAGTTTGGTATTACTGTAATCCAGGAAGAAATTCATTATCTTCCTATTAAGAGGACCTAATTTGACTAGGATTGAAAATTTGATGACCTCACGGTCAATAAAATTCTCGACAGTTTTCCTACATTTAGATGGTTAAACTATATTTAACCACAATAAGTGGCATGATCAGAACACACAAGAAAAAAAGTTTGAATTTCTTACCATTCAACAAATTAAGTGCAGCCACGAACGCGGGAAAGTCAACCGTCAGAGCGGTAAATGCATCACGGCATCGTTTGTGATATATCTGTAAGAGAAAAGTGGGTAAATTGCTATCGCCTTTTACTTCTGGTAAGAAAGAACACTTGGACAGCTATTATTGCTACCAATGCTGATCATATTATATTCGTTACTCCACACACCACTGATTATATTTCGCCGTTAAATATGATCTATATGGTTTTGATTATACCTCCAATATGCCTTCGTTTGGTCCATCATGAATCTTCAATGTTTCTCCAACGGAGAGCCCATCAAGAAGGACATGTTCTAAGCAAATTTGCATATTCTGCAAAAAAAACTTCCAGATCATCTTTTCGAAAAATTACCACATGACCTAGATGTGAAGGCACTGGAAAAGCGACAACCTACAATGCAAACACACCGTTTGTGCCGTTTCTGAACGACGGTACTGCTGACTGATAAGATATGAAATCACACTCTTAATAAGCTGTTCCTCGTTTTCAACACCATTTTCCACATGAAGCGTCAGCACATCAATCTTCCCAATAAACACTCCTCGAGGCATAACACTGACTGACTTACGTTTTTTCTAAAACTTTATATATATCAAAGAGTAAAAAACAAAAACCTGACATGAGTCTGAGTTATTATTGAAGAAAGTTACCCTAAAAAATTAAAGTCAAGACAAGTTCATTAACCTTTGCAGAGAAAATTTCATCTGATCCAGATGACTTTGCAAGTTCAATGCTTTTAACATCATCGCACTCTCCATCATTCCATAGCCTTCTTTTCCCAAGATGGGGTAAAGCAACTGCTGTGCCCTTTGCCTTTTTCATCTTAAAAAAATAATATGCGAAATATCTTTCGAATGAAAGGTATGTTACAATGAATAAATTGATAAAAATTGCTACTAGGAAAAGATCGAAACGTATAATAAAGATTTCCATGTTTCAGCCCCACTTTTATTAAATGTCAGTGATCATTTCGTTCTATTTCACAATAATAACTTGCTGGTAGTGCACAGAAAGTTCGACAGGATATATTATGGGCTAATAGATTAGGAAATGAGACCAAATACTTCTCAGGCTTTACCAATCATCATTTAATGATCTAGACAACACTGAAAATCCTGAGCAAAATATTTTCTGGAAATCAGTTTCTCGTTTTCAGTGGGACCGAACGCATTCAGTACAGGATATTAAATCTCATTCTGAACATAACATATACTTGGCAGGAAAAAATTACCGTATTTTCTGCCCACAAAAATCCCTTAAGTAAGCGAACATATGAATTGACAATCGTTTCAGGCAGTTCTGCTTTATACATTTTTGATGATTTTTGTTCCGTGAAAATTTTTAGAACTGCTTCACGGATTTTTTCGACGTCACCACTGCAGCTGAATTCTCGTAATATCTGAAAAAGAAAAAAAAAACTGCAAAATAAGAAATAGCTAAATGAAACCTTTCTTTGTTTCAATAGAACCAATATAACAAAAAAATGCATGGCATAGTTGATAAAGAGTGCAAGTTCAATAATTTTATTGATTATTTCTAGAATGTGATTAATCACAGTTCATCTTTATGCTGTCGTAAACTTATTCTTCAGCATCTACAACAATAAATGTGAATATTAGAGCAAAAAAGCCATCCCAATCCCAAATTAATCTTATTCCCAAAATAAGTGGGACAATAAGCAATTATAAAGTAGGAATGATTAGGAACATGACAGCATTGAGATGCACATAACCGAGTAAAACAACTTGCAAAATGTGAGTTAGCACCAACAATGATTATTTCATAACGCGACACAGCATATTATAGATTAAGATATTGACATTTCCGAACAAAGAAGTATATGATTTTTGTTATTGTTTTATATTTTAAAAGTGTTTAAAAAAGTCTTTATTTGAAAAATATATAAATGGAATTAGCACCTTATCAGTTTTTGATTCCAATTCCAAACCAGTCCCCGAAAAATCTGTAGCTTCAACACATCCAAAGTTCTCATTGATTAACATTTTTGCCATTTCACGATCGTCATCAGTTACTAAAAAATGAAAAACCAAAAATTATTTATGGCTGATGTCGTCCAATCTACAAATGATACTTTTTATCTCAGACTTGCGTATTCATATGGCAGTAACAACCCCCCACGACATAAAAACGCAAGTACATTACGTAAAAAAAAAGAAGGAATGAGAAAACAGATCTTTTTCTTTATTATATCTGTTGAATCTTAAAAATGAACCTTCTTCTGAAAAATTCTCTTCCATAATTTCATCTCCACCTTTGTGGGCTGTATGTTGCTTGGTTTTTCGAGAATGAGCTAAGTTCAAAGCATCTCGCACAATGCAGACGTGTTTCATGACTGTTCGGGGTGTTAAATTGGTAGCTCTCGCTGCGTCAACCCCCGTGGATCCTTCATGCAACACCCTAGAAATAGCTGAATGTACAATTGCAAATTGTTCACTTATATCACTTATGAATCATAAATGGATATTTTAGAGAGATGAAACTTACATGCCAACAGCTTTACGTATAGCATCCGCTTTTGTCGAGTGTCTGACAGAGGTTCCACAATAGATATGAATACATTTATCGATGTGCTTCTTATCAATCTCCGAAATACCTCGGATAAAATTCCTCCGTACTTTCTTGATTTTTCGCGTTTTCTTTCCATCTTTCGTCTGATTATCATCAGTTGCATTGCTCTCATCATCTGTAAAGTACTTTATTCGAGTTTTCATGCAATCCTGAAAGTTTTTGATTACAAAATTTCTTAATCTTCTGTGATCGTTTAGAGTTTCACATGTTAAATGATCGGCCATCAAGCCGCAGATTTGGATTATCTGACAGAAAGACTTGTGGTGTTAGCCGTCAAACTATTCTACTCCACCTGTGATAAATTAAAAATATAAACTGAAAACATTTTTGACGTGTAGGATTGAAAAGGAATTCGAAATTAAAGATAAAGTGACATACTGCTTGTTTGACTTGACACCTCTGCTCCTTCATTTTTCACTTCTGTTTCAATTCCACTTTCTTCCTCTGCCGAAATAATACTTCGATTATTTTCTTTGATTAAATTGGCTCGATTCAACAACTTTTCAACCATATTGTAATAGGTTCGAAAGTATGAAACAGCAAGCTTATAGTACCGGCAAGCCTCCTGAAAATAATTAATGAAAAACACAAGTTTACAATGTGCATACGATGAACGTAATAACACCAATGCAAAGCTAAGAAAAATCTTCCTATAAAGTCTATTTGATCCGTGTAAGTAATACATACATTATAGACACAAAATCGACGAAACTGAACTGTTGCCTATTGCAGCGCTCATAACTGTAAGATAATGGATAGCAGAAGTCAAAAAAATATTACCTGCTCAGACATCGTCCTGCAGTGCACGTCTGTCACTGCACTCTTCAGTCGTTCCTTTGTTTCATCGCTCACTCTGCTGTATCCTACAACGATATCTATCGCGCGACGAAGTTTTTCGTCAACATGACCTACAAATTATGGAAAATCCTAAGAAAATAATTAGTAATCACCATTATTTAAACGCATCACAATAACGCACAAGTTACTGATCGTGACGTTGTGAATTTGATAAGCCGTATAAAAATAGTTAATGTTCGATGATAACAAGGAAACAAACCGTCTGTCATGTTGTCCATTGATGCATTGCCATCCTTTCCAACATTCACTATTTTGCCGACAGAATTCGCAGCGTTTCCACTTTCCGAAACCTTTAAATACTCGATTGTAGAAATTAATACTGTATACGAACAAATTTGAAACAAATTCAACACGTTTAACTAATTATTAAAAAAGGTCGTTTCGTCAATCTTTGTTGAACAGTATCAAACAAGAAATATAAAATGAAGGGTAGGCACCACCGTAAACAAACCTTATCTTATATAACCACATTATTATTACCATATTACATTATTACCAGTCTTTGCGTCATCCTCAAGTAGAAATGTCAATGGACATCAGATATACTTATATTTCGATTTCATGTTAGGTTTGGTAGTTGAAACCATTACGTTTGTTCCTTTCTTCTGATAAGCTAATTTTAAAATCATATCGCAAAAATTAAAACTACTTAATACTAGGATTTCACCCCTTATGAAAAACATTAGTTTTAAAACAAGAGAAATCAGTGTCTCACCGACATGTTCTGTTCATTTACAGCATTTTCATTACAACCATTAGCGTTTACTACATTAGCGGAATACAAATTATCGCGTTGAAAAGTTTCCGTCATGTCAGTAATGCTGCTCTCAATGAGTACATTCCCAGTACTGCAAGTAAAGCAGTTATTTTCACAAAGCATTTTATGAAACATAAGCACCAAATCTTACTTTGATCATTTTCAAAGTCTGTCCAACTATTTGAACTATTTTGTTATATCTTTATATTCAGGCACTCTTAAATCGCACTTTCTAAAGTGTAATTCTATACTTATACTTTTATTTCCAAAATACACTTTATGAAAGATGCATTTACCTCTTAGCTCTATTCCCATCCATCACTTCCATCTACATCAAATACTCGATCCACTGCCAATAAACTGGTGTAAAATAGCAAACTGTAAATAAACAAATCCACCTGCAACAAACCGCTAGCAAAAGTCAGAATGCAACTTACATAGTATCAAATTATCAAATACACGAATATTAGTATCGCATATTGCAATATTTTTATTTGTATAAGATAAAAGAAAATGTCATCAAGTTACTGCAAACTAATATTATCAACAAAAATACATGCATGAGAACAACCAAATGGAAGAATTCACATGATCCATACCAAATACATCTTCCTTTTTCCTATTTATTTAATTTTATGCATCAAAAAAAAAAAAAACATGCGTGCGTAAGCGATAAAATTTGATTTCCAATTAGATCCAGTTCTTATTAACCCTTTCTATTTAAAATGATTCCCATAATAAATACATAAAATATGACAACAAATACGCAATTTCATCAGTATCACTTCATCTTATATATAGATTCGATTATGTTGTAGAATTTAAAAGTTGCAATACTTCTAAAATTTTATACTCAAAATTCAAAAAGAAAAGAAAAATACAACGATACATTTCGCACCAAATACCAATTCCAATCAATCCTCTCCATTTTGTCTCCGTCGTCTAAAACCCTCACTTTCAATATACTCTTTTTCCTTTTATATTACAATGCTAGTTGAGTAAGAATATACAAACTAACAATGTGCTCTTTTGTCGCTCGAGAAATGTACCCCATGTGGAATAAGTGTAGCTTAATAGCTTAACATCTACTACCTCTATTAACTATCATAGATTTGCTTTTTCCTTTTGATTCATAAGCGTTCATTGATTGGAAATTATTCACGTTACTTCCCCATGTTTGAGAAAAAAAAAATCCCGGAAATCTTACATAAACGAAGTATATAAATAGAATTGTTACGTGGAATTCAATTTGTTTATGTGAAAATTTGTTACGTGAAATTGAATTTTCCCTAAAATAGTTTTGTCCTGTTAATTTCATTAAGAGGGAAATTCTCTTCTACACTATCATATTACTTTATTTGTGCATCTTCACGTTTCACCTTTTCTCTTGCTTCTCCTCTCTCCAGCGCTACTATTTTTAATTAATTTCAAATGCTAATTTTAAAACCGTTCTTAAATTCGATTTTTCTGGAACACACCCCACCGACTAACGAAAAAGCAAAAAATATGTACCGAAAACGGAAGTTTTTGTTATTTTATCGATGTGGTAGTAGTAATTGTGGCACCAGCTTCCGGAATTGTGGATCGTTTTTTCTTTCTCGGATTACTTTAAACGGTGATTTTACTAGTGAGTAATAGTGAAATGGATTGAAGGAGGGGAATGATTTGATAATCTAAAAATTGTAAATAATTTTTCAATTTCCGTAGTATAACAACGCACTGACTTTAGCATAATTTATTGAATTATTTGACAATTGGATACACACACACGTGCACGCACACACACACATAAATGTACCCGTGTACGTACACACACACACACACACACACATACACACACACACACACACACACACATATACACTCGCACATTGCTATTACTTTTTTGCAGTTGTTTGATTCATTCCGATGGAGAACAATAAAATTTGTTAAATTATAAAACATTGTTTATATTTTGCATATCTACGAGATAGAAATGAATTCCATAAAAGTATCCAATCACAAACAATTGTTTACTTGTTAATTTGCTCATATGTATCGACCAAATGTTGAGAAAAATATGTTATAATCTGATAACGGAAGATTTAGTGATGAACCCTGCTACAGTGTTATTACCATAGTCAAAAGAAATAAAATAAAATGGGATAATGAAATTCAGATTAACCATAATTAAGTAATTGGTTAGTGCTGGTTAGTGAAAATGAATCCAGACAGCTCATTGTGATTTGAATTTTCGATCTTATTTTAGTATATTTGAAATCTTTTGACTATACAAAAGATCTTCATAAGCGGTACGGTAATTTGTCAGAAACCGTTCTGTCTTTATACACCCTTTTTATTTTTAAATATCCCAAAATTTTTTGATATTAGTACTCTTCTGAATCATCGATTAAATCCAGTGACTGTATTCCGTTAATTCACAAGTATAGCTTAATGCTTAATGTAACTTACGATTGAAAGCCTTATTTTGTTTGTTCCTGATATATTTGCCCTCAGTCCGTATGCGTAAAGACAAATGAATAAAATATCGAATTCCGTAGAGAAATTCAATCAGAATTCTCGAAAAGGCTACTGAAAATGAGGAACTTAATTTACAAATATGAATTTGTTGAATTGTCTATTATGGAAAAGCATTCAGCACATTCGATGGCAGTACAAGAGAATCAGAAAGGTAATGAACGAGAAAAATTAAGCAATTAATTATTGACATGAACGAAAGCCTATTCCTTATCATTCAGATTCCTCTCACTTTTTTCCAATGTAAAATCATTTGTAACTTCAAATTTTTTTTAGTATAGACAAGTTTAGTGTTTAAATTGTTCTTATGCGGTGGATTTTTTCCTGGTGCATAATTTTTTTTGTCTACGTCATGTTTTGCAGAAGTGAATCGGAAGAGTAAATAATGTCAAGTGCCGAAAAGCTTGCGGATGAATTTGAAAAAGGCGAAACAGATATTGAAAAATTTGGAAAAGGTACCGGTAAAAGAACGAAGGTAAAATAAAAGTTGAAAATTAGGGAGGATTTCCATACATCCTAATGATCTTTGTTGACACTATAAAATAATTAATAATTTCTTAAGTTAAAGACTCAATTTGCAAATTGATCTTTTCACACTCAATTCCATTGAGTTCATTTGTGGGCATTAATTGAACTTTCATTCAAAATTGCTTTAGGATTTAAGTGTAATTTGTCATGCCTAATCTTGTCAACAAACAGTTTCAGCGGCTAAAAATTTTCATAGGAGCTTGAATAAAAGTGGTTAAAACGTCTTTTTTTCTTTGGTGATATGATGCGCCACAATATCATAACATTGATTACATCGCATATAAATTTTATAACAATTTTCAGGCTGAGCAACATGAACACAAGCATTCACATCCGGAAGGTGATACCAGGAAAATAGTCAATTATTGTGTTAGCGGTCAAGAAAAAAGAAAGGGAGCTACTGGCAGCACAGTCAAGAAGGACTAAAACTCGAGCTTTTATTTTAAGCTTGTTATAATGTATGTTCCAGGCTGTCAAATCATTTCTTAGTATAGCTATTTCATTTATTTTCATATTTTGCTTGCTTTTTAATTAGTCGTTTTTAGCATCGTTCTTTTTTTTGATCGATGACATAAATCGTTCTGTACTCGACGTCGATCAAGATATTCTCAAACTACAGATCTACATAGGATTACACTTTTATTTGAGGTGAAATTATTTATCAGCAATCAGTACACTGAAATATTTGATTTGTTATGTCTTATAATAAAGTATATGACACTCTTTAGTCTGCGCATAGTTTTGTTATACCAACAAATACTCAAGCTGGTTTATTGCATCTTTCACTGCTTCATTTTTATATCAGTTTGCTAATTTGTACGTATTGCGAAGTTTCGAGTGGATAAAAAGCATTAGTAAGATGTTTTTATAAAATCGCAACGGAGCATCTCTGCATCGCAAGACTTCGGTAGCTTAGCTTTTCCTACAAGAGTTATCATCTCTTATACATTGAATTAGTTGATGAAACTCGAATCAATTTCAATTTAATACGTATTAACATGGATAGGAACAACGGGGATGGGATTGCTGGTAACGAAAAAAAAAATCCCTGCAGCGATTTGCTCATTGCTTAACCGTTTGCATCCAGGCCATAGATTTTTTATTTGCGAGATTTCTTATATTCTTTTATTTTTATGAACAGTTGTTCCAAGTAGTAACCTTTGGTCTGTAAAAACCACAAAAATGAGATAAATCTGTGAAATTCGATCTGTGAAAATCACAAAAAACAAAAGAATTATAGCTAACAAACAACAACAACAGCAAGAATGACAAGACTTAACACAACAAAAAAGTGCAGTCCAAACAACAAATAAACGCAGATCAGCAAAACACTACCTGCAATTAAATTTAACTTGCAGTTTCGATTTTTCTTGTTTTGCTTTTCGTCTTTTTCTTCTTTTTCTTTTCTATAATCCGCTTGATTTCTTTTGCTCGAGGATTTACAATCATTCGTTCGGTATCGAAAACCTCACCCACAGGATCAGGCATTTTCACAGCTGCCTGTTCTGCTAATTTTACTCCACGGGCCTAAAATAACAAAAAAAAGACAAAAATTTGCAACGTGCAACCAATTCTTAAAAGTCTCAAGATTTACGTCTCAAGAGTAACTGGTGGGTCATTCGCAGTAACTTACCTCTTCAACCAGCTTCTTCATAATATATTTATTAGACTGTTTTTTCTTAATTTCACTTCGAACAGTATTCGGACTAACGTAATTAGGATTGTCATATAACACGGAGCCTTCGAATGATCCATCAAAGATACGAATAATTTCCAGTACCATGCGTGGTCCTGAAGCAATGATTAATGATATATTTTTCCAACAAATCAGAATTCACCAGCGTATAAAAGCAATTTATAATAGTAACAATAGTATGAGACTGTTTTTTCTTAATCGCACTCCGAACCGTGTTCGGACTGATTTAATTAGAACTGTCATGTAGAACATAATGTGTTTAATCTTAGTTTCCGATTTTTTTTCACACAGGAAAATGTTAGAACAAATGTCAGCGTCGAAAGATTTTTAACTTGGCACATACCAATCTCCTGAAGTTCAAGCGTTTCATTAACAATTTGGAAGTTTCGGAACCATATTTTACCATCGGCAGTTATTGAAAACGTGAAAACATGGTCAATAAACGGTTTACTTCTAGGATGATGATATGGCGTACTGAATGTCTGCAAACAACAAAAATAAACGTTTTTTAACATATCAGTGACACATGTTACAGTCAGATAAAATGATCAATAGTGACTTACTAATACTGGAGTAAAACAGAAAATTCACAAATTTCCTAACCTGAATGAGAAGTTGCTTGATAAGTGAGAAGTGTGGCTGATTATCAAAAGCAGAGTCGAAAGAAAGCACCGGTCGCGATCCCTTCAGACAGTTACCAGACATCCGCATTTCATCCATGGTGTGCACATTATGTGCCAAAAATTTTACTGATGGACCACATGTCGTATTTGATATCCACAAGTATAGGTCCTGAAATCCATAGTCATTTACAAATCAAGTGTTTCCCTTTAGTTACTCCCAAATCATTATAACTGATACCGAGTAGTCTGCGACTATTGGCAAAACTGTCAACGTTTTATCATAATATCGCACAATAAGTGCTTTGAAACGAAGTCCACCTGGTTGAGCTCATCGTCGCAAGATTACCTGGGGATTCCATCAATACGAAGTATGGTGAACTGAGATCATCTGTTCTATGGTTAACCGTAATTATATGTATCAGAAGTCGAAATTTCCTGTACTCACCGTATGCTTTCTGCTTTCGAAATACAAACATTTAGTACAGTTTGCTATCTCAGCAATTTCATTAATCAATACCAAGCTTTTCTTTTTGTCCAATTTATTATCCGATTTGCTATGAGGCATTAAATTTAAGAAATCCTTCATTAGATGACGCATGCGATAGGATGCACCACGAGAACAAAAAATCAGAACACGCTCACGATTCGTCCATTTTGATTTGACCTATAATCGCAAGACGTTCACATACTTTGCGAGCAATTTCGAAAATTCGCATGCTTAAAAAAGAGAGAAGATAAAAACCTGTTCTGAAATATTCTTATTCTTTACTGGAATTGCAAATGATTCTTCTTTAGACGTATTTGAGCTTTCTGATGTTCCCGAGGCTGATCTACGCCTTTTCGGCAACATTTCATCGACACTTTCAAGTTGACGGAAACGTCGTGACATTTGAAAAGTTATATAAAAATTAATATTCTCTTTTGTAGTTTTATAAATGTAAGAAATCCATATATGAGCGTTGCATAGACACTTAAAAGTTGCCATAATTGTTTTAACCATAGCATATAACCAATATAGCATGAAAATATGCTATTTTTAATGGCTCTGTTTGATTTCACAAATGAAATATACACATATTGGTATAGGTGAAAACTTTATCCAAATTTAAAAAATCCAAATTTAAAAAATATATTTCCAAAACTTGAATATGAAAGTAAAAAACGAACAACGAAAGTTATCAATCTTAATTTCAGGTCTTCTCGTGTATGGACAATTCAAACATCAATCTAGTGGTTGAAAAACCGACCATGGAAGATCTGTGGGAACTTCAGATAAAAAACTTAAGAAAGGATGAGACATTCCTTTTAAAAATATTATACAGAAAGAAATTTTTATAAATGGTATATTGCAATCCACTCTGAACAACTCAAGATGTACTCCTTTTACTTCCTATCTTAATAGCATTTATCATCTTTACCTTCCCAATAGATTCGAAGACGAATCAATCTCGAAAAATCGAATTTTTATGGGAAAAATCATGTTCACATGAAACCATTCCAGCATCCGAAAATATTGAATTATTCGAAAAACTCCCATTCATCGAAGAAAAAAGAAATGCGCTTCCAGCCGAAATCAAAGTTATTCAAAAAAGTTACCTAGAAGAGTCACATCTACCAGGAAACATCGTGTCATCCAGAAAAATAAGTAATTAAAAGAATCATCCGGAGGCTGCACTCCCTGATTTTCTTTCATGGCTAAACCACAAACATTCCCATTTCGTATAAACACTCTTATAAGTAGGTAATGATAATTAAAGAAGGTACGAGCAATTACTGAATGGAAGCCAAATTGGCTAACGGAACCTGATTCCTCTACTTACTAATAATGCATAATACAAATCGCTCTAGACGATCCGGAAAAATAAACTCCTAGGAAGGCCGTGGTGCCTTTTACCGTAAATGCTTATTGAAGTATTTTTCTGGTTCGTCGAATGGTGACGTCCGTGGTTGGGTTGCAAAGAATAAGTTGGTCTGTTAATGAAGGATGTGCTAATTAGAAGCTGATAAGGTATCAAATCTGGGAATGTAAACAAGCGTTAGAGACAACTCTACCATTTCGAGTTGGAAATATTGAGAAAATATGCGAAGAATGAGTGACTAAGTTATACGAAAGTGAAACTGAGAAAAAGAGAAAAAAGAGAGAGAGAGAAAGGGAGGGAAAAATCTTCATGGCACACATAATTTGAGAATTAATGATGCAAATTGTATGTTCTTTTGAACTTATCTTGAAGTTTTATTCAATAACAGATTATGTTTTTTTTACAATAAAACATGTTTTTTCTTTCCTTTTTTTTTGCCCCGTGATTTTCCATCGAGCATTTTATTTTTGATCAAATAAACTTTTCGCTATATAATTAAATTTTTTTTCTTCAATTTGAGACAAAGAACATGCGTCTATTATGGTATTGTAGGGTAGCGAAATAGAAAGATGAGTGGGAAAGATACTGTAACCGATTACTATGAAATACTTGGATTAGAGAAGAATGCCACAGAACAACAAATCAAGAATAACTATCGAAAGTTAGCGCTCAAATTTCATCCAGATCGTAATCCCGGTGATCAGAAAGGTTACATTTCTTTTCTTTTCCTCGATATATAATGTTTCAATACAACATTAAAACATTATACAACATTAAAACATTATACAACACTATACAATATTATACAACATTAACATTATGCTGAAAATTTTAGCAATTTTAGCAATTTAGCATTCTAGGGAAATTTAGAGATGTGATGAGAGTATATATAATATATTGTCAGTGTTTGATAGATTCATTTTCCTTTATTTTCAATTTAAGTTTAAAATAAAATGGAAGGTTAATAGAGTTAGTAAATAGTCCTAATTTGTAATGTATGAAAGAATAACATGATGACTGTTATTTGATTAAAGCTAATTTGATGCAATTATTGATCATGAGGTTTTAAACAATATTTAACTGAGGAGTTTTGCAGCTGCCGAACAATTTAAAAAAATATCGATAGCATATGCAGTACTGTCAGATCCAAACAAAAGGCGACAATATGATTTAAGTGGTCCTTCCGGTGCTCTTGTTGATTTCGAAGGAATAGATATCAGCGAAATGGGTGGAATTGGTACGGTCTGTGTGATGTTTGCTGGATTTTGATAATTCTTTTGGCCTCTTTTGTTTATCTATTTTTGGCCTTTTCTGGAGATCAAATTTGCTGCAATATGATAGACTTTCGATGAGATAACAGATTGTGGTGAAGCTGGCTAAGCTGATGAATCCAGTTGGTGGATTTCAAAAACTTTAACGATCTCTGATATACGAATTTCACTAGAAGCCACCAACGTTCGCTGTGGTGTAGACTTACCACTTTCAGTTCCTGTTCGTCATACCATGTGTATTAACTGTTTTTAGCTCTAAGTTTGGTCAAGAAATTTTGATTTTACATTAAATACTTTTCATAATTCAGGACGAGTTTTTGGCGCATTATTTTCAAAACTAGGAGTACCAATACCGACTCAAATTGGACCGAAAGTCCTGTCCCAAGCTCGCAGTTTATGTGAAGGAACGCCAACCGATGCGAAATATACTGTTTTAAAGGAGGGTATACCGTATGATGGTTCAGTTGGCAAGCAGGTAAGTAAATTTCATCTTTTCCCAAAATATTTTCTTTATTATCACATTTTGCATCATAGGAGCGCTGGGAGTCATATCAATGTCAAGCGTGACATTTCGAATGGGTATAAATTATAATTAGCAAATCTTCAGCAAATGTGATAGTGTGATACTTTTTTGAAAGATGCTGTCATTATGACCTGCTTCTCTCTGCAGTTGTTGACGACGTAAAATTCGAACTTCATTCAGTCTTCAGGAAGCTGACTTTTTCAAAATAACAATGCAAGCACAATGGGAAAAAAATGGATTAATGGTTATCTGTCGGTCAATGCAAATGAGCAAATTCAAGTTAGTACTCTTCGACAAGGAAGGCGGTGTTCGGATAATTCAGGTTTTCCAGATTTCAATTTTTCATCATTTTTGTGATGCAATCGATTCAAAAATCTTCAGTTTATCCATGTTGGGATCTTGTTGTATTGTGTCCCAATAGGACACTAGTGAAGGAAATCAAAAAGACACATATTCATAATTTGGCAAAAATATGTTCTCGCATGATGATTTTCAGGAAAGCAACAAGCGAAAAGGCTGTACAGTTGCTGAAATATTCTTTGTGCCATTCAATCGAGCTAATTTAAGTGAATTTATTCCGATGAAATTTTACATGGAAGATAAAGAAACACCATTACCATTTCATTTACTTGATACATTGGAACTAGTCGGGGCTCATACACTCGAACAACGTGATCATTTCTTGTGTGTATACGGTGATAATTGGATTAAAGACGTCCGCTATCAGCTGAAATTTGTACCACTTAATGATTCACCCATTTCAACCGAATGCGTAAGTTATGAATTACAATTACTGTTATTGAGAATAAGTATGTTTATTCTGCGTCTTGTTATTGTTAGTATGCTTACGGTGATGGCTGTTTAACTTCTTTGCTTCAGGTAGAGAAATTTTTTGCAGGTACGCGATTTGACGACGACAGAAGAAGCGTTGATTAAGAAGAAGAGTGAAATGTCCAAATTCCAAATAGAATACACTGAAACAGTTAAGAAATACAAGGAAGTTGTGGAAAGGCTTAAAAAGGAAACCGAAGAAATCAATTCTCTTCTGAAGGTGGCCAATCGAGCATCATTATTTCATAATAATAGATTGAAATAAATAGACGGTTTTCTTTCCTAATTTCATCTTCCCATTAAATTATATTTTACGATTGTTTTTTCGAAAAGAATTTATCAAACTCATTTCTTTTTTAGTTGACATTGCATTTTTTAGACTTTTACCTTACATTTTCTAATCTATTCATTTAACTACCCATAAATGTCAAGTTTTTCAATGATATCGGAAGCCATATACTCAGCAGTTTGAACATTTTGTGTCATTCCATGCTTTTTTGTGGTAACAGTAGAAAAGTATATCCAAATCTTTAAGCTCCGACAAGTTTAGGAGGATAAATAGTTGGGATCATTAATTTTACAGCATTCTTGCTTTCAAGGTTACAATAAGCGCTAGTGGATTGTTTGAAATTTTTTTGGGAAATTTGCAGAATAAAATTGGAATGAATCGCAACTTGCTGGGCCCAGTTTTAACGTGCCATTAAATGTGAAAAGAATAGTCCAGCGATAAATCTTATAAGTTTATATATTGCTAATTTACTGAACGTTTCATTACATTTTACTTGGTTTCACTTTTCATTTTGCTGTATATTATCTGGAATAGTGAGAGGATTCATTAGTACCCATATTGATGTGGGGTCGCAATCGAAACGTTTCGAAAAATCGGTACTAACTTCTCTGCATACATTTCAGAAACGGGATTTTGTATACGATGCACTTGAAAAGGAAAGTATGGCACGATTTATTGCTTCAAAACATCTATCTCCGTCACATTCGAACAAAGGGTTGTTCTCCTCCTGGTTTTAAATTATATATATGGAGTTATGTTCGGCATTTTTATTCGGTGTTCCATATGTAAATTCCCTGAATATTGCATGATTTTTAAACTGGGAATATATGACTCTGCATCGCAAATAAATGAACGGCTGTTACCTTGAACTTTCACTTGCCATTGACCGTGTTAATCGAAATGGACAATAAGTGGTCAATTTTTCCGGAAGCTTTAATTTGATGGCTTTTTCTGGGAGCAAGGAGAGAACATCTTTGTAGTTGTTCCTGCTGTGAATAACGATATCCATTTCTTGTTTCAAATTTTGGGAATGAAATGAAATCTTGAAATTCACTGGTGAAATTAGGTAATGTGTTGTCATATATACCTTAATACACATGATAGCCTTGTCGATTTTTAAACAAAGGTTATACAAGTGTCTTGTGCATCATTTACACAACGATACGTTTTTATTGTGATATTTTTGGCAGTAATTATTAGTTACTGCTTTTAAATCCATTTTAAGAATTTATTCAGGTATTAAATTACGGAATTAGCGATGACTAATTGCTTAAAAATGATTTCTATTTCTTTAGTTATATACGTGCGTTTTCGAATGATATGTATGAATTTTAGATGAATTGTATGTTTTATGCGTGTATGTTTCTAGATATACATAAATAAGTTGTGTATTGTACTACAAATTATTTCTGTTCATCAGCAAGACGTTATGTGTATTTGGAGTGTTTGAATGTTTCTAATTTGAGAGGAATGATTTTCTTTTTGACCTCTTGGTAGGGCGGAAAAGATTGTTGACCTTTCTTCCTAGTAGCATATTACAACGAACAACCTTCTCACGTTCTAATCATGTTTTAATGCTTTATTATGTGGTATTATTATTTATTATTATTATTACTATTATTATTATTATTATTATTATTATTA